AAGTGGGGAGAAAAGTAAAGGGAAGGAAGGAAATGAACAGCAAGAACTAGCAAAATAGAAAACAAGCAAAAAAAAAAAAAATAGAGAAAATTAAAAAAAGACTAACAAAAAAAGTTGGAGAAATGACATTCCCAGATTTCAAAATTTACTATGAATAGAAAGCAACTCAAGCCTCCTTTTCTGCACCTCTGGGTTGTGTGCATGTGACTATATCTCACTGTGTTTTCTTGCAAGACTTTCAGGATTAAGCAATTCCTGGCAAAGAAACAAAGCAGACTCATCCTATTCCCCCAATGGATTCAAATGAAAACTGGTGATAAAATCACATACAATTCCAAGAGAAGACATTGAAGAATCAAGCTAGGTCTTTAAGGAAAATTACATGAGATGGGCCTCCCTGGTGGTGCAAGGGGTTAAGACTCAACCTATGAATCTATCTGCAGCAACTGCTGCACAAATTTGATCCCGGCCAGAAAGCTACCCATATGGCGCAACAGACTTCTCCTGACTTGCTCACTGCTCCCCTTAAGCAGTTATTTCAGTAGATCTTCCTATTCTGTTCCCCATTCTGTCTCTGGTGAATCCTCTCATGCCACACACCTCTGGACTGTAATCCAGTTCTTGTATGCTTAAATAAATAAATCTTTAAAAAAATTGCATGAAGTGGCACAAATATGTTGTATCTAGATCACTAGCATCTTGACATATCACACTGAAAGCAACACTGCTGGAAGGGTATGTTTAGGAAATTATGCCTCTGAAAAACTAGACTTCCACCCAAATTAACAATTTCTACCCAGCAAAATCCCCAATAAGAAACCTACTCAAGGCCAAACTCACAAAGACAGAAAACACATAAGCAAAGTAAGAAAGTAAAGAATAGGAAGATCATAAGAGAGTAATAGTAACAACCACAGGTCACCAAACTAGACAACTTAGAAGAAAGAGGTAAGTTCTTAGAAACACACACACACACACACACACACACATATCTATATAAACACACACATATAAACATACATATGTTAGATATATACAAAAACATATATATGTTAGTTATGTTCTTAGAAACATATATACACACTTATGATTAAAGACTTGGATTTAAGACCTGAAATCATAAAATATACAGAAGAAAAGACAGGCAATACACTGCTTGACATGAGCTTTAGAGATGGGTTGGCTTCAACAGCAAGGGGAACAAAAGCAAAATTAAATAATCGGGAAGATACCAATCTAAAAAAAGCTTCTACAGTGAAAGAAATCTGCATCAAAGGGAGAAGACAGCCTACTGAATGGGAGAAGATATTTATACAACATACCTCCAACAAGAAGCTAATATTCAAAACATACAAAGAACTCATAAAACTCAACAAATAAAAAAATAACCTGCTTGAAAAAAAAATGGGCATAGAATGAATAGATACTTTTCCCCAAATAAGGAAACAGATGGCCAACAGGCTCATGAAAAGATGTTCAACACCACTAATCATATCAAATGCAAATCAAAACCACAATGAGATATTACCTCACATCTGTTAGAACTGCTATTCTCCAAAAGATAACAAGTGTTGGAGAAGAGAACCCTTAAATACATTTGTAGGATTGTAAAATGGTATAGCCATTATTGAAAGCAATATGAAGACTCCTAAAAAAAATTATAACTAGAAATGCCATACTATGTAGTTATTCCACTTATGGGTATTAACCCCCAAAATAGTGCTGAAATAAACATGAGGGTACATGTAACCCTATTTTTACTGCAGTACTATTTACAATAGCCAAGAACTGGATATAATTAAAATGTCTACCAACTGATAGATGGATAAAGATGTGTGTATATAATAGTAAATTAAAAGAAGATGAAATCCTATTTGCAATGTGTGGATCTAGAGCGAATTATGCTTAGTGAAATGAGTCAAACAGAAAGCCAAACACCTTATGATTTCATGCATATGTGGTGTACAGTGAAAACAAACATTAATAAAATAAAACAAAAACAAACTTTTGTACTACAAGACCAATTAATAGTTACAGGAAGGGCAGAAGAAAGAAGGTGGGTAATTCAAGAAAAAGGAGAAAACAGTATGGCAAAGGAAAGCATTGGATTTTGGTGGGAAACTTAATGCAGCATAAACATAACTTGAATCTCAATGGTGCACACCTGAAATGTTATGTCATAACACAACAACATAAATTGTTTGCAAACATAACCAAATTTTAAAATTATTTCCTTCACTGATTAAGAGTATCTAAATAGTAAGTCTTTTATCTTGAAACTATAAAAGAGATTATAAATTGCAGAGATTATATATTTTGAAATAGCTTTAGACAATATGTGCTTTAATATATTTTTCCTAGAAAGGTATCAAATTGATGAAATGTGTGGTACTCTAAAATGCCAGAAAGGGGAGGGGAAATGGGTGTGAGGTAAATACTGAAAGAAAGATAAGGGAAAGGAGTGCTTGTAGTAAGATAAACAGTTCTCAACTCTCTGCACATATGAATCATCTTGGCACTGATGCCCAGGCGACCTCACCCAATTCTTAAGTGTTCTGAAGGTGGGCTTTTGGCCATATTATTCTAATATGTAACCAGGATGGACTAATTAGAGTATTTCTGGATTAGATGCATTACCTTGGTAAAAAAGGAGAACGCAGAGGCTGGCAGTTAATTTTGATTCAGAAAGCAAAAACACAAGACTAAGAGCTAATCAGTTCACATTATTCCTCTGATTTAAAAATAACATACAATGACCAAATTCTTCAATGGTTCCTGTGGTTAATGTCTTAATCAACTTACAAGTCTGTCTATGACCTGCTTCCCTTATCTACTTCTCCAACTTCATCTCCTCTAACTGCCCTAAAGGCAAAGTGAGCTATTTTCAGTTTACCAAACTGTTTGATTATTCTCCTATTTGCATATAAGTCCTTCTGCCTAGACTAGCAGGCCCCTTCTAGTCAGTTGACCCAATTTGTCTTGAAAACTCCTATTTATCATTAAAGTCAAAGTACACCTTTTTCTGTAAAATCTTCTAGAAACCACCTGAGAAAAATTAGTCATTTCCTTCTTGCAGTCACCACTGTATTTTTATAGATATCTGTTAAATAATTTACCACACTGCATTTTTTCCATTGCCTGCCTCATTTATTGATCTTAAGAAGCTGGACAGCAACTAACTATGTATTTTTTTTTTAATCTTTGTCTCTCAAATGCAGAACTCTGAACTAGCTTAGGGCCTAAGAATGTTAGTTGCATGAATAAATGAGAATAAAAGGACAGAATAACCACTAGCTCTAAAATTGCAACATGACAGTTAAAGGAAAATAAAAATACTGAATAATAATGGGGATTTAAGAGGTTGAAAAATTATGTGACTACATAAAAGCAGTTTAAAGTGTCTTTCATCATCTCCTGAATTTTACCTTTACATCCTTCATTCTTTTCCAGTATGATTAAGAAGTCTCACCCTATCACCCACCCCACTTCCCAAAAAGATAGGGAGAGGAGATAGAGACATGGGACAGGTTATACAGTGAGAACCAATGACTGTAGTAGTATTTTATTTCTTAAACTGTGAAAAAAGACAAATAGATGATTATTAATCTTTATACTTTTTAACATGTCTTTAAAATGTTGCTTTACACAGTACTGAATTCATGTAACAAAAATTAGAAAATACAAACCATTTAAAAAATAATGTATTCTGGGCCTCTCTGGTGGCCCAACAGGTTAAGTCTCAACACTGGAAAGCTATCTGCAGCATGAGTTCCATCCCTGGCCAGGTTGCTAATCCTCAGGGCAGTCAACGCTGCTGCTCCCCTTAGCAGTGTATTTCAGTAGATCTGCCTGTTGTGCTCCCCACTCTGTCTCTAGTGAATCCTCTCACCCCACACCCCCACACATCTGGCCTGTACCCCAGTTCTTGTATGCATAAATAAACCTTTAAAATGTACTCAATTTATGGATAATAGTCACAAGGAGTTAAATTCTAGCCATTCTAAAATCACATCAAAAATGTGTCTGCAATAACCGTATATTTACACACATAGGTTACGTGTTTGCACATATCTATCTTTATAACCTTGAGAAAAACTATTTTTATGCTCTTATCAATTTCCAGAAGTGAACTCGATCCATTTCATTCCCTTCACGTCTTAAATCCAGAAAAAAGATAGCATATTAGCAGCAGCAAATGGGTAGCATCACGAAACACTGATTTACATTATGTCCGGATATTAAATGCAAAATAAAACTAGTCGAATTTAAAAACTGGCTTCCATCACAAGAAAACATTAAGACAATGCCTAAAACTCGACGACTTATCCGTTCCCTGTTCCCTATCCCCTCTCTTTAGAAGACATCACATCCCATTCTCACTGACTCAGAACAGGTTTTACAACTTCTTGGCTCTTTGGCTTTGCAACTTCTAGGTGTCTCACCTCCAGTTCTGGACTAATTAGGGACACGCAGTATCCCACATAGTCCAAAGGCATTTAGAAGAAGTTTCTAACATCTAAGAAAGGAATAAAGGAAACCCACGTATCTCAGCAGGGCAACTCCTTCCTGAGTCCTGGAGAGCAGAGAAAAAGAACGAGCGGGGAGGAAAACAAAGCAATACCAGCGCCCCCCCCCCTCAAAAAAAAAAAAAATAGTTGATAGGTTTCAGGGGCGGACACTATCCCGGGGCGAGACACAGAATCGGGAAGGGCCCTCCAACCCCCTCTAGCATCACCAGGTGCGTTCTGTTTTGCTTCACTAAAATCCAAAAATTATTGGTTTTTGAATCCTGGGACTCTAAATACCCCCTTTTCCGACTCCCCGTTCTCTGCCACCTCGGGTCTCTCCCGCCCCATCTCCCAGCGTCAATCCCGAGTTTCCACCCGTGCCCTGGAGTCACTTCTCCGCGTTTCAGAACCTCCGCGTCCCCCCAGAGCCCCGCCGCTGGCGGTCCCAGACCCTCCTCGGACTCGGGCCGCCGCGCAGCTCCATCCTCTCACCTTGGTTACAGAAGAGGCTCCACAGTTTAGCGAAGATCAGCCCCATCATGAGCACCTCGACGGGCCGCGGGGTCCCTCAGCAGCAGGTGCCGCTGCGCCGGGTCCCCCACCGCGACGATGCCTGTGGGGAACCGGGGAGCAGCCGACTGAGACGGCGTGGCGAGGGCGCCGGGGGGTCCACGCGCCTCAATCCGGCTCAGCTGGCCGTCCGAGGGCGCCGCGCCGAGTCCCCTACCGGACAGTCCTTTGTTTCGAGCCCCCTGAGCCCAACGCCGACCCGTAGTCCCCTCTGTCTGAACCCACCTACCCTGCAGCGTCTCCGCCAGCCCCAAGCCCCGCCTCCGCCCCGCCTCCCCTTTGGGTCCCAGGACCACCCATCGCCGGAAAAACGGTGTTTGACGTCGGCGCGCTTACGTCCACCCACGCCTGGGACGTGGCGTTTCCTCTGGTTTCACTTCCGGCTCCCGGGCTGGGCGCGCTGGGAGTGGGCGTCGGCGCCGCGCCCTGTCGTCACTGGTTAGGCGCGTCCGCCTGGCGCGGGTCTGCGTCTGGCAGGTGCCTGCGCTTAAAGGGGACCCGCTGAGGTGGTTTAACTGAGCGGCAGCCGTTCGCTGCCCTTTGCTATGTGAGGACTGTTTCGCTCACAAGGAAACTTGCTGTCACCGTGTACAGGCCGGCAGGCTTGAGGTTCTGCCGTCATTCTTTTTTTTTTTTTTTTTTTTTAAGATTTATTTATTTATTTATGCAAGCACTGGTTACAGTCAGAAGCGCAGGAGGGCGAGACGATTCACCAGAGCCAGAGCGGGCGGCCGGGGATTGAACCGGCGCTGCAGAGGCTGCGGGCAGCTTTGCAGCCCAGCGCTCAACAGCTGAGCCGCAGGAGAGGCCCTCTGCCGTCATTCTTAATGGATGGGGAGACTAGCCATTAAGTCATGCGATTAATTTAGCCCCCCCACCCCAATTTTGCCAAGCAGTCTATTTTCCTGGGTCCCCAAAGCACAGAAGAAGAGATTAACCTTTTCTAAAATTTTAATTGCAAATAAAGTTTTTTTTTAAAGATTGATTTATTTATGCATACAAGAGCTGGGGTACAGGCCAGAGATGTGGGGGGTGAGAGGATTCACCAGAGACAGAGCGGGGTACAGAACAGGCAGACTGACTGAAATACATTGCTGAGGGGAGCAGAGGGTGAGTCAGGAGAGGTCTGCTTTGTCATGTGGGTTGCTCCCTGGCAGGCCGGGGATTGAACATGTGGTGCAGAGGCTGTGGATTGCTTCATAGTGTGGCGCTTAACCCCTTGCGCCACCAGGGAGGCCCCAATAACGTCTTTTAATTAAAAATGCGTCCCAATAATCTCTGCCAGGTTAACAACATAGAAGAAAAACTACATGTGCCCTAGAGCAAAAGAAAGAATTTCAAGGAAAAAAAAGTCGAACCAAGGAAATATTATAGCAATAGTATTTCCTAGAAGGAATTTTTATAAACTGGGTAATACTTGGAAGAACTGACTGCAGCTGGCTCTGAATTCAATTTATTATTATTCAGTTAACTAAGAAACCCCCATATGTACCATTTCGAAAGGTAATTGTTTCCATTTTTCTTTTCCATGGTTAGGTGTTAACAAACCCAATTTAAACTTGTAAGTAAGCCTTGTAAAACTTTAAAAGCTTCACAGCCTGGCATAAACTGAAATAAGTGCAGGTGAAACCAGTTGAAGGAGAGTGCTTAGCTGAAAAGACTCTGCTGTTTCGCCAGGTGGTAGGATTTTTAACCCTGACAGCTGGCCCTTTAATATACCAAACTGTTTTGTTACCTGTACAAAGAGAAGTGCATGGTTTATGATGTCCTTCCAATGTTAGGATTCAAAGATCCTATAAGATTTATACATGGGTTAGTGTATTCAAATTTTCTGATATTGAAGGCAAGTTTTAACCTCCTGTAAATCCTCCCTGAGGATTAGTTTAATTTTCATGTCCATGATTTGAACAATAACTAAGTGATTTTGTGTTTGTGTAAATAGAGGCTTTAAGGGACATTGCAGTCTAAGTTTTGTTAGTAAAAAACAAAATTTAGATTCTGTAATTTAGTTTCTTTGAGTACTACAGGTGGTCAGGGAGCTAACCCACATGGCACAGCAGACCTCCCCTGTCTTGTCCACTGCTCCCCTCAGCAGAGTATTTTAGTCAGTCTGCCTGTTCTGCTCCCCACTCTGTCCCTGGTGAATCCTCTCACCCCTGCATATCTCTGGTCTACACCTCAGTTCTTGTATGCATAAAGAAATAAAATTAAACCGTTTTTAAAAAAAAAAACTATTATAAATTAATTACAGATAATAATTTGAGGAACTAGCTTCAGTTGGAATTGAATTCAATTTATTATTCAGTTAACTATGATAAATGGCATACATGAGTCCAGGGAGAGCATGTTCTGCCAACTAGGAACAAAATGAATTCTAAAAAAAGCTATCCTAGTAGTAAGATAATGTCCGCTGTGACTTTAGTTGGTCAGTCTCCAGATGAACTCCAGTTGGTCAGTCTCCAGAATTCTGGCCATTCAAGGCTTTTCCCCAATCTATGCCTTTTTCATGAGATTAAATACTAAGGAATAAGGTTTTATTGTTTTTGATAAAGTTAAATTGTCGACCACCATAAACTGAGATTTAACATCGTATCTAAGATTTTTTTTTATGACCCTCAAGCCTCTGCTTATCACCCCACTGAGAGCTAAATAACTTATATGGCTGTATTCCTACAGGGGATCTTCCTTTGCTTAGACAGCATGTTAACTTAAAATTTATAATGTCTTCATCAGCATAGCTGCCATTACAATAATGTCAGCCCAGGATAGTGTACAGGTCCTCAGTACTGTTCCCATCTGCTGAACTAGTGAACAAATTTTCCAGTAAATATATGCCTTATCAGCATTTTTCTTGGTCTACAGAGAAGCTCATCCATCTATTCATCTAATCATTCCAGATTTGTGTGCCTATTGCTAGGCACTGGTTTTGTGATGGTGAGATAAAGTCTCTAACCTTTTGGAGTTTAGGCCCAGCTCAGCTTGCTCCTTTTTCTTTTTTTTTTTTAAAGTCTGCATTTTTTTTTTTTAAAAGATTATTTATTTATTTATTTAAACAAGCACGGGGTACAGTCAGAAGTGCGGGAGGGAGAGAGAATTCACCAGAGCCAGAGCGGGGAGCAGAGCAGGCAGAAGGACTGAAGTACACTGCTGAGGGGAGCAGCGGGCAGCAGGAGAGGTCTGCGTGCCATGTGGGGCCCTCCTCCGGTGGCCGGGGAGCAGCCGGCGATCGAACCGGTGGTGCAGAAGCTGCGGGCAGCTTTGCAACCCAGCACTCAACTGCTGTGCCACCAGGGAGGCCCAACTTGCTCCTTTTTCTAAATACAGACTCCAATCATTATTGGTGCTACGATCACCATAATATTGAGGTTGGAAAAAATACTTTGGAAATGCCTAGTTTAGATATTTTCCTAGTAACTTTTAGAAGATTTAGCTGCAGAAGAATACCACTGAAGAAATATGCCATGGTGGAGAGACTGGATATTGGCTTAAGAAGCCAGGTGTCTTTTATTCTAATTCAGCTTCAGGAGTTGTGAGGTGATGGAGACGTATTTCAGCTTTGGAAGCATTGTTTTACTCCTCTGTAAGAGATGATGATAATCACCTTGCAGAGTTGTGTGGCTCAATGGTTGCAATTCAGAATATTTTTACAGAACCTGGTGTGTCATACAAAGTAGCTATTATATTTAAAAAAAAATTCCATGTGAGAAAAACTCTAAGGAAAAAAAAATCTTTGCTGCAGTTACCTGTTAATGACCATGCTGTACAGCAAAACAGCAATCAAAACCAACACATTGTTTTCCTCATCCTTAACACAGAAAGATTAGGCCAAGGGTTTCCTGAGCTTTAGAGTAAAATCAACTATGATATAGGTAGCTGTTAGCTTTTCTTTAAGCTAACTGTAAATTCTATGGGTTTTAAAATATTTATCTGAACATTCATATAAACAAACCATTAACTCGGTTACTGAGATTTTTAATAATCATTCTCAACTGAAGTCAGAGCAGTATGCCTGAGAGAAGTAAGGTAGTTCTGTTATAGGACAGGGAGAGGGACAGCCCAAACCCCGCAAACCTGCCTATTGTCTATTCTAAATGGGTTCTGCCATCTGCCGCATCAACACAAAACATATGAGACTTTAATGGGAAGGAACTTTAATAAAAACTAGGAAACAATACAGGTAAGGCAAAGAGTCTAGTTTCTAAATGAAGCACCCAAAGTTACCTGTCCCCTCGTGGGTAAAACTCCATCCATATGGGATCGGCCCAGAGCAAGGCCCCAAAGCCTGCCACAAGTCTAAAGCATCTTCCAGTGGGGACCCCACAGAAAAGAGTCAGAAACAACCAAACAAGCCCGGAAGGAAAAGAGCAAAATCAACATCAAGATAAAAGCTGCCATTGTCACCTCCCCACGGGTCTCACCCACATCTGTGTCACCCAGTCCACGACCAAAAGACAAGCGCAGCTTCTTCACGTGTCTCTAGGCTCCATCCTGCCTCCTCCAGGTCTCCTGGCTCCATCCTGCTTCCTTCCTCAGTCTCTTCTGCAGCTTCTCCTCCTGCTCAGCTCCACCCTCCCTTGGGTGGGGCAGGGAACCTCCCCTTTTCCTGGGGACCACCCTGTTACAGTTCCATGGAATCAAAGGGCGCCTGAAAAGGTCCAAATAAACCCTGGTGTCATCCTTCCCTTGGAGGTCTAGCCAGTAATAACAGGCGAGCAGGTAACTCATTGGCCTCCACCTCACGTTCAGGGCAGCGAAATTTTCGACTCAACCCACACTATCTTCCCTCTTCCCCGGGCACCCAGCCTCCCTCACCCAGGAGCCCAAAGAGTTAGTTCACCCCAACTGCTATCCCCTTTCCCTTGCCCTTAAATCACCCTAAAGTGGGCCACTCGGGGATCACAAACTCGGGGGCATGCTCAGCGAAATAAGCCAGAAAGAAAAAGAAAAATACCGGATGGTCTCACTCATAGCAGGAATCTAGAAAACTTAAATAAGGGACCAGGAAAATGAATAACTGTAAGAAAGTGAAAACCAAAATCAACAAAAAACTATGAACCAGAGACACTTTTTGGGGGGTGAGGGGCGGGAGGGGAGGGATTGGGGTCAGAATGGGGGGGTTGCAATTGTATGGGGAATATAAAAATAAAATTTATTATTAAAAAAAAGAAATTGGCAGCTGGCCGGGGGCGGGGCCGGGGCGGGGCCGCAGGTCGCGTCACCGGAAGTGACGCGACCGGAAGTGGCTTTCGGTAGCGACCTTGGGGGGCGCGAGTTTGGAAATGAGGCCCGAGGTTGGAAGCTTCAAAGCGGTGCCGCCCTAGTTTCCAGCCCTGCGACCGGTGCGCCACGGACTCGCTCGTCACGCTTTTGTTTGTATTTTTCTCCTGTAACACGAGTGGCCTCGCCGCACGGTGACCTCCGTGAGGGGCCCTCATTTTAGGAGGCCCGAGGACCGGCGTGGTGGAGGCGAGGAAGCCGCCCGCTACCAGCTGCCCGCGCGGGGGAGCGTGGAGCCCCCCGCAGTTCCGAATATAACCTGGCGGAGCGGGAGTTTCCTGGGCGTCCTGCCGGCCCGGCACGCTGTGGGTGGTTATTCCTCCCACCAGACGCCCACGGCCGTTCGGCAATAGCAAAACCAAGGTTTTCTCAGCATTTCTCTTGGAGAAAACGAAGCTAGAGGAAAAAATGCTTATTTTTCCTAAAATATCTTTAAGACCTGAGGTTGAAAACTACCTTAAAGAAAGCTTTATGAATAAGGAGGTAGGTCAGACACATGTTAGATGTTTGCAAAAATTCACATACGCACTTCAGAAGCAAAAAGTCTGAAAGAAAATTAATTTTGTTGAGTTGTTGTCTCTTACTGCTTGTTTTTTTCCGAATGTAAAAAAGTCTTTCCGCAGGTGTTTAATGTTTCCCGAGAGCTGAGGTAACGGAGGCATATATTTTAACATTTAATTATGGCAAAGGGAGGGAGAAAGCTGTGTCTGACACTAGACTTTGCACTGTAGGAGTTGCAAGGATGAGCAAAAAACCTCTGTCCTTGAGAATTTGCCCTGTAGAGAGGCTCCACCTGTGTTTTTCGAGCAGGAGCTATTTCAGCATTGAGCTGGAAGGGATACTGTAATTGAGTGGCTGTTACATGCCACCAGTTGTGCACTTGTGCTAGGTGATTTGCAAACCTTTATATTTGAATCTTTGCAATTTGTTTACACAGTTAAATAGGTGAGGAAACAGGAGCCGTGTAACTGACACAAATTAACACAGCTCTCTGGTAACAGTACTGAAATGAAAAGCATAGATTTGGAATCCCAAACCTATGATTTACTGCCAGTACTTGAGTAAATTCACATCACTTAACCTTGATTTTCTTTTCTCTGGAAAGTGATGATTGAAAATACCCTACAAGGTTGTGTGAGGGTATTAATCATAAGAGAAAGCAGTGGCATGTTTGCCACACACTAAGTCCTCAACAGGTGTTTATTTGCTACTGGCATTGCCTTGCACAGAAGTCTTTAAATGTTGATTGTCTTTGGTTACCAAACCTGTTCCCTTTCCACTTCACCATCCTGCCTCTAGGCAACGTTGTATTTTCCACATCTTTGGTTTTTAGTCAAACGGCTAAATTGTTACCACTGTATGCATTATAAATAAGTAGAATAAAATCCTGAATTTACATATATAAATGTAGCTAATGTTAATATGTTCAAAATGTTAATGGTTTGAAGTTGAAGCCCTTTATTTTGGGTTTTTGTTAGGTATTCATGTTTATTATTAAACCTAGTCACCTTGAGAGAGATACCATTGTTATAATCCATAATTTAGCAAAACGGAATGGAAATGAACAAGTACTAAAAGATTTTTTTTTTTAAGTTGGAACAAATGTGGATACATTTTCTGCTTAATATTTATAATTCGTGAAGTGAAATTGAGATGTTACTTATATTTTCTTTTCAGGTTGTGTCTGCTGTAGGTAAGCATGAAGCAGAAAGGAAGTTTGAAAGTCTGTTAAGTCACTTGTCATACCCTCCATCGTTCACTACTGTCAGAGTAAATACACATTTAGCATCAGTACAGCATGTGAAAAATCTGTTATTTGATGAACTTCAGAAGGTTGGTGCAAATTTTTTATGTTGCTGTGTTTATAATTACAGTTTTATAATCTGTTATGTTGCTTACTTAAAATCCTATGAATGCTATATGGCTATTGAGTTGTTTCTCTACTCCCTTGGGCTTTGGTTCCAGGATCCATCTCCGGATAATCCCAAAACCCTTGGATATTTAAGTCCTTTATATAAAATGGTGCCATGTTTGCAGATAACCTACATACAACCTACCCATACACTTTGAATCATCTCTAGACAACTTATACTACCTAATATAATATAAATGCTATGTAAATAGTTGTTGTACTGTGTTGTTTAGGGATTAATGGCAAGGGAAAAGTCTAAATAGAAAATTACAAGGGCCTCCCCGGTGGCGCAGCGGGTTGAATGCCACACTGTGAAGCTGTCCACAGCCTCTGCAGCGCAGGTTTGATTCCTGGCCCGCCAGGGAGAAACCCACATGGCGCAGCAGACCTCTCCTGCCTTGCCTGCTGCTCTCCTCAGCAGTGTCTTTGGTCCATCTGCCTGTTCTGCTCCCCACTCTGTCTCTGGTGAATTCTCTCACCCTCCAGCACCTCTGACCTGTACCCCGGTTCTTGTATAAATAAATCTTTAAAAACGGATGATTACAGGTGGTGTCTTCATATGCTTAAATATCATACTGCTGAAAGTAATGAACCATTGATATTGCTGCCACATGGGTAAACCTCAGAAACATGTGAACTGAAACAAACCACAAACAAGAGACCATATATTCCATTTATATGAAGTGTCTAGAAACTGACTTTATGGAGAAAGAAAGTAGGTTAGTGATTGCCTGGGTTTGGTATTAGGAACAGGGATTGACTGTGAATGGACATTAGGAATCTTTGTGCATAGATGGAAATACTCTAAAACTGGATAGTGGTGATGGCTGTGCAATTGTTTAAATTGACTGAAAATCATTGAACTATGCATTTAAAATGGGAGCATGTTATGGTATGTAAATTATATCTCAGTAAGGCGTGGGACAGATAGAAAAAGAAGCAGGGTTATTTTAAAAAGTTTTTTTGTGTTGCAGAAAAGTTATATACATGGGTGTGGTTTTATCAAAGTTTTATTTTTGTATCTTAATATGTGATAGAAAAGGAGAGAATAAAACTTGGCTTGAGAAGGATTGATTTCTATATTTCTATAGTGTAAAGCAAATATTTAAATAATAAAAGCAAATGACAAAATTCATTATTTTCTCCTTGGGAAAATCATTTTACTCTAGTATGTACAAGAGGGGACACAAACAATGGCTGACCTGAGGGAGAAGGGGAAAGAGAAAGAGAAAACAGTTTGATGAGTTCAGATTTATTATTAGGTATCTGTTGGAAATGGTTAGTATTTTCAGGCTAACTGGATCCTTTGCCTGGACGAAGCAGAAAAGTGGGGGAGTTGTTGACCTGGTAGAAATGTAGTTAGATTTCTAAAGTATTAACACATTTTCTCTATCAACTTAGAAATAAATTGATTTTAAAAGATTTTTTCTAGTATACAGATACTATATGGCAATGCAAATATCTGGTATCATTGTTATTTCATGTAATATGTGAGCATTAATTAGTTGATAACCCTAGCCTACATGCAAGAAACTTGTTCTCAAATATTTGCATATTGCCCTCTGATAAAATGTTCAGTCCCTGCTATCCAGTCCACTGTTCTATGCTTTATTCTTTTGTGAAGGGTGCCCAGTCATTCTACTTATAAAAGTCATGTGCTGGTATGTACTAAACAACTAACTTTAGGGGAAAAATAGCCTGTTTGTAGTATTTGCTAACTTTGGTGGTGAAATTACTCCAACTATGGTTGATTTCAAGCTACCTGCCTGACCATAGAGATGGGAAGAGAGACACAAAGTTGACTGTAATGAGACTGAGCTGGCCCCAACTTCTACATCGCTGGCTCTGACCATGTTTTAAGTCTGAATGTCAAGTACAATGGAGGATGCTGAAAATCCTAACCTTTGCCAAAAGCAGTTATTTTCCTCATCTAGTTTTGATAATTTCCAATAAATAGTATTTAATCTCAATCTTTCATGTTGTGTTCATAAACTTAAGAGGACTAAGTACAATTCTGTTGTATGTTTTCAAAGTGAGTCACTTAAGATAAACATAGTTTGTATTTATCAAGCCAAACAAAGCAGAATTGAACCTTGTAGAGAGGCAAAATACTCCAAAATCAAATTATAGAGAAAAATAGTTGTTTTGAAGCTTTTGTTTTTTTCAAAATGTATCCCATTGAATAAGATGAAAATATCCCCAACCATGCTTTGTGGTCTTTGAGGTAATAATACTGAAAAACTCCATAAATGAAACTTTATCAAATGAGTTGATTGCTTTATAATTATGTGTATTTATTTTTAACAGCAGTATAATGGATTAAATGTTCCTATTCTTCAACATCCAGATCTTCAGGATATCTTACTTATTCCTGTTATTGGACCTAGGTTTGTAATTATTTCATCTTCAAAATCTTATAAATGAAAATTTGTCACAGGTTCTTTTTTATTGATAATACTACATTATTAGCTTTCTGAGTAGCTAGATTATAATTCACAGTTCAAAAATTCATAAATGCTGATTTTCATACTCTATCATGGAAATATTACAGAAGAAGACAGGGAATGGACCCAAATATGTTGATTAATACACTTTAGGTTCCATTTAGTGCCATAATTTTTTTACTTTTGAAGAAACTTAATTTTTTATTTGTGTATCTTGAGATATCAGTACTAAATTATAAACTTTTTTGAGCAACAAAAATACAAGACTTTTTTTTTCATTCCTAGCCAATGCATTTGTAATTTTTTTCTCTTATTCACAATTATGTTAAATTGCCATGAGGTACTATGAGTAGAAAAGCAATGTTCTACTACTTTACGTATTTGGAAGGTGTACATTTGAAAATTGATAAAATAAGCTTTCCATATAATGGGTGTTCTATTTTCAAACAGCATTTAAAAATACCTAATCATGGTATAATTTTTCATACCCTTGAGAGTTTCAATAAATAAATATAGAAATACATAATATGTTACTTTGTTATAATTGTATAACAAATGATACAATTTATACTATGTATGTACAATGTATAGTATATATTACATTAAAATATAAATTCCTCATTTTGTTAAACCTTTAAAGCAATTTAGTGGTTAACAGTGGAGCAATTGTTTGATCAATTTTGGTTTATTGAAGCAGTAGAAATATTTATGTAGTTTTAAAGATTGATTTATGCATATAGGAGCTAGGGTTCAGGCCAGAGGTACAGGGAGGGGGTTGAGAGGATTCACCAGAGACAGAGTGGGAAGCAGAACAGGTGGATTACTGAAATACACTGCTAAGGGGAACAGTAGGCTAGAAAGGAAAGGTCTGCTGTGCCATATGTGGGTTAGTGCCCTTGTGGGGACTGAACTTAGGCCTTTGTGGTGGGCTGTTGTCACTGTCGCATGTCTTGACATGGTAAGCAGAACTGATAGGGGGTCTAGCTCATAGGTTTTGTATTTTGAGGTGGTGTTTTTTTGTTTTGTTTTGGTTTTTGGCTATGTAGTTGTTTGCAGAGATTGGTGAAAGAAGAGGTTGAAGAAGATGGGAGAGAGGGGCTATGAAGTATACAATTTTTTTTTTTGAACTAAGTAACATTTTCTTTTTTGCATAGACTATAGGAGTCAAAGAATTGTGTTAAAAATCATGACTAGATCTGTGTTTTGTTTTTTTTTTTTTAAAGATTTATTTATTAATTTATACAAGAACCAGGGTACAGGCCAGATGTGCGGGAGGGTGAGAGGATTCACCAGAGACAGAGTGGGGAACAGAACAGGCAGATTGACGAAATACACTGCTGAGGGGAACAGCAGCCGAGACAGGAGAGGTCTGTGGTGCTATGTGGGACCCTCGCTGGCCGGCCAGAACAAACCGGCACTGCAGAGGCTGCGGATAGCTTCACAGCTCCGTGCTCAACCGCCTGCACCACCAGGGGAGGCCCTAGATCTCTGTTTTAGAAACAGTACTAACATAGATAACATACTAACAATAATAACATAAAATTATTTTTCAAACTGTGTCGATCATTACCTATTAGTAGGTTGTGAAATAAATTCAGTGGGTTTTTAATGAACATTTTTAAAAAGAAATGTGATAGATTGCATTGCCTGCAGTAAAAATATTGTTTCTTAAAATGTGAGAGGGTGTGTACATACATACAATGAATTACAAGACTGGGAACAAGTTTGGATGGTATTTCAGAGTCTTTATTTCCAACAGTGTGGTGATCTGAAAATGTTTCTGTTGCATACTTCTAAGAGTATTAAATAAAATATAGGCCTTAAAAACGCACAGCTGAGTGATTATGAATATAAGTGAACTATCCAGGGAAGTAGAAAGAAGAGTAACTGAAAACAGTGACAAGCATGGTAAGCAATGTTTGGAGATTGGGTCATAGGAAAGAAAGTGGCTTCCTAAATTTAGCTGCTTTGTGGGTTTTTTTTTTTTTTTTTTTTTTTTTTGGTGGGACCCTCGCTGACGGCCAGGGAAGGAACCGGCACTGCAGAGGCTGCAGGCAGCCTCAGCCTCGCAGCCCAGCGCTCAACTGCTGCGCCACCAGGGGAGGCCCTGCTTTGTTTTTTAACAACAGTGTATTAACACTAGGAGGTAAGAAATATCCAGCAGTCAGTACAAGGCAGTAATTAGTAATTGGAGCTCTCTTACCTTAGGGTATAGGTTGATGGAAAAAATCTTTTGAGAATGTAAAAATATGGTTTCAAACCTCAAAAAGGTCTAGAATTCAAAGTCATACTACCTGGTAGTTCTGAAGCAAACCTGCAGTCTGGGAAAGTAACACAAAAATTTGATCCCAAACCAATTCCTGAGGTGCTTGGCAAAAGCAGGCCGAGTTACTCTGGAGTGGCATATTCTCAGTCTAGGCCAACCACAGTTCTCATGGTTAAAAACTAATAGGAATCAAATCACCATGTGTGAGAAGCAACATATTCAATAAACTGAAGGGTTATATTTCCCCTAAAATTGTAGCAATTAGAGCTATATCTGGTGGAGACTATAAAGTTAGTTTTTAAAAAAGTATTTAAAACCAAAATAGGAACCTACATCTTTTTTCTTTACAGTTTAAAAGGTTAGGTTTATTAGAAAAAGAGAGGCACCTGCAGGTGGGCAGAGAGCTTGTACTGATATGGTCTTAGGAATTTAAATCTTAAAAGACCCTAAGGAAAAAAAGGTAGAATTGCAAAATAATTTCTAGAGACAAAAATATTAAAATGAAAAACTCAAATGAATTAAACTGTAGTTTAGACCTAAGTGATGAATAATTATTGAATTATTGAAATAGATACATATGCAGGAAATAAGTCAGATATATCAATATAATTGAGAAGGAAAAATAGAAGGAAAAAGCAATGCATATTTTTTAATAAGTCCCAGATATAGACAATGGAAATATTGGGGCAAAGACAATAATGAAAAATGTAGTGAAAGATAGGTTTAAGAAATGAGTTTGAAGCCAAAAGTAAAAATAATCCATTTAGATACATCAGGATGAAACTCCAGAACACAAAGATATGAAAAATAACTGAAAGTAGCTAAGGGAAAAGGCAGGAAGCTGTTCTAGTGATCCAGCTAGGAGATGAAATATGTCTTCCTTCAGGAGATAGGCCCAGAAGATCTGTCAGACTAGAGGGGGCTTGATTTGATAACTCACTGAATTGTCAAGTTAGAAGGTTTAGAAGGGAATAAGATGATGTGGGGGTTTCTAATATGGTTATCCAGGCAGATTATAAGACTTTGTGTAAGATTGGAAGTATAGAAGATGAAAAGATTTGAGGTATTGACAAGGATTTGAGGAGTGGGTAAGAGAAAATTAACATTGTTTAGGACTTGAGTTTGAAGTTATTCTGGCATACCTAAGTATAATTACCTGTTTATGTAAGAGATTGTTGAAATCAAATGATTGCCAAAGGATAGAATGCAAAGTACAAAGAAGTGGCATGTTTTGAAACTTGGAGCATGGGGAATGTTGAATCTCCTTGAGTAGGCAGAGAATGAGCAATGAGAATGTGTGACACCAGGTGACAGTGGAAACCTGAGACATTTATTGCTAGTTGGTCATTTGGAGATCATAAAAAGACATACTAAACTCCCCCAGCAAGAAGTTGTGATAATACATTTGAGATGTTGCCAGCCAGGGAAGCTCATTAGAAACACAGTGCTTGAGATTTTTATTTGTGACTGATCACATAGACACCCCGTCTTGAAAAAATTCTTTTCCTTTTTTTTTGAAAGTTTTTTTCTGAGTATTAGGTGTGATACCCATATTTTAGTGACCTGAGAAATGGTTAGGAGATAAGAAAAAGACACTCAAAAAAAAAAAAAAAATTCAAGCAGCGAGGAAAGAAAAAAGGACTTATTTTGCTTGTGTAGTATAAAATATTGATGATTTATCATGAAACCATTTACAAACTTTTTGGACTCTTGTATATTACCTGTTTCAGTCTTTGAAGACAGAACTTCTCTCTTAATGCTGTTACAAAAATAGCAATGGCTATAATATGATTCAGCAATTTTTGCCTTCCACTACAACTTCTTTTTATTTTTTCTAAGTGCCACCTTTTTTAAAAAAAGAAAAAAAAAACTATTTCCTTCACATGTATTCTTATTTTTAAAACTTTTTCTCATTTATCCATTAGTGACATCTTGGGACAAAAATGACAAGGATTTAGATTGAAACTTTGAAAAGGTTGATGGGTGTTGGAGGTAGTTTTCGCTGTTAAATCTATTGTCTTACATTCCTAGGAAGAACATAAAGAAACAACAGTGTGAAGCCATTGTTGGAGCCCAGTGTGGCAATGCAGTGTTAAGAGGAGCCCATGTCTATGTTCCAGGAATTGTGTCAGCTTCAAAATGTAAGTATGTTTATTTCTTTTCTTTTTTTCCTTCATACATTTTATTAAAAGGAAAAATTACAAGCAGAGTTAAAATTTGCATTGCCAAAGCGTTTCCATTGCCTGGTCCATTGCTATTCCTTCCATTTTTTTTATCATTACAAACTTGCTCTGTAATCTATCAATTCTTACTTTATATTTTCACATATGTGTATGTAGATCCATGAATAAAATACAGTATGTAGGTCTTTTAAAGTTTTTGTATAAATGACATATTTAATTATTATGTTACTGGCTTTTAAAAAAATTTTTCTTGCTGATGTATAGGTCTACTGTATTTACTGCTGTACACTATTCTATTATGATAATTGTCTATATTTTTGACCCGTTTCCAGTTAAATTTGTTAGGAAACATTTAAAAATTAAAAAAAACATTTTCTGTTAGAGTTAAAATTGAGATAAAGCAGTTTAAACTCCTTCATTTGCACTATTGATGCCTTCAAAGCACTCTCCCCTTCTAACTAAAAAAATTTTCACTACCCAATTGGTGAGTGCTCATGAATGCAGGACACACAGAGAAATAAAAAGGATTTATTTACATCATTAAGGCAGTGGGAGAAAGAGAGCATGTGTGTGAGAGAGCGCTTGATTGTAGCCTCATGCAGTCTACCATATTCCCAGGTGGTAGTAAAAAAAGAGCGGGCATGCACCACCAGTTCAGTGTTTTTAAGTCCAACATGGCCACTCAGCTTCTCCCCTCATTTCCAACAGTTCCCCCCTCATCCCACCCCTTTCAGAAAGTCCTATTTGTGGCATTCTGGGAGTTGTGCTCTGTTCATGAAAATAGGGGTCCAGTAATACATGAGGAGATAGTCTTGCTGCCCTGGTGCTGTTCTGCTGGGCCAGACCCTAGCTGCTCTTTCTAACATTACCCAAGTATAGGTCAATGTAATGCGATTTTCTTCTTTTTCTAGTTATGAAAGCTGGAGATGTTATTTCTGTATACTCTGATGTTAAAGGCAAATGTAAGAAAGGAGCCAAAGAATTTGATGGAACGAAAGTATTTCTTGGAAATGGAGTTTCTGAACTAAGCCGAAAAGAAATCTTTGGTGGGCTACCTGAACTGAAGTAGGTCATCTGAGTTATCTGAGGGAAATAAGTGTCTTTTTTGTAGTTCAAAAATTAAGAACAATGTAAAAAATACATTTAGTTGCATTATATGAATAGTTTTTTTGGCTATAGATTCAACTATAAAATAATTGTTTAACTCATATATTTCCATGTTTTTTGGAAAAAATGCTTTTATTTAAAAAGGAAAATGATCAGGTGGCAATCTTTGTCAGCAACTAGTCACACTTTAATTAGCAAATACTTTTATTTTTACTCTTGAATTTTATTGATTACAAAATTTTTCATCTTTGGAATATAATACTCATCTTGGCTAAGGTTGAATTAGATGACCTATGCAAATATTTTTTAACATTATGATTTTGTTTAAAGGAAAGCTTATAATTTTAATATGTTTATATATATGTATATATATGTAAGTTTTATCAGAAAGTCAGCCCTCAGATAAATATTTGTGGCCAAAAATTAATGTTTGGATTTGTGCAAACCAAATTAAAATATAGTTCGTTTTAAATCATAGCTGGTTGCTTCTGGTTCCAAATAAAGTCACGGGCAATCCAGTTTCTTCATTTGTGTAGTGTTTTTTGCCTGTTTAGACATTCTACGAACAATTACTCCAGGTTGACATATGATGTAGGTATGCTGAGAGCTGTGAATTTATCTAGCACTGGACCGCACACTCCTCCAGTAGTCATACCTACTACAGGGACAGGCTACAAATTCTACAGAAATTGTTGCACCCTAAAGAACAGCATAAATTTACCTAATGTTCCATAACAATTTGACCTTTGTCCTAGTTTTCTGGCAGACAGTTCCTAAAACCCTGGGACTCTCAGGAGTGAGAAAAATGTCCTTTGTATGTTAATGAAGTAACTGAGGGTGTCTAAATAGTTGAGTCCAGATGAGAACTGATTGGCCAGAGGAACCAACTAGGTTGGAGCTTTCGGTTCCATACCAGACCTCTGGGAAGGTAAGAAAGACTGGAGATCAAACTCCAGTGATAACCAATGACCAGTGAATTCATGAGTTATGAGTTATACCTATAGAATGTAATCTCCCTTGATCCACCAGACCTTGGGACTGGGAGAGCATCCAAGTTGGTGAACTCATCTTAGGGTGGTGCCTCAGGAGAGGTCTAGTCACAGAGTGCCCTATTCCTATATTTTACCCTGTGCATCTCTTCCTTCTGACTGTTCCTGAGTTGTATCCTTCATAATTAACTGGTAACAGTAAGGAAAGTGTTTTCCTCAGTTCTGTGGGTCATTTTAGTGAGTGATCAATCCTGAGGAGAGGTTGTTAGAACCCTCACGTTTATAGCCAATCAGAAGTGAAGATAGCAAGTTGGGTTACTCATCAGGCATCTGGAGTGGAGCTAGTTTTGTTAGAATGAATCCTTGAACCTGTGGAGTCTGATAATATCCCTGGGTAGTTTGTGTTAGAATTGTATTGAATTGTAGGACACTAGAGAGTTGGAGAACTGGTGAGTGTGAGAAAAAATCCTGTCCAGAAATGTTGAGTACTATTAAGTTGAAATTAAAACAAAAAAGTCCCTTGCCTACTTCAAGTAGAGTACAAACCATCTGAGATTTTTCTCTGCCAAAACTGGTTCTAAGCAACAAATGTATCTATTGTATATGAGAACTCTGTTCTTTTCCATGCTTGGACTCTTTGCTTGTACTTAGATAAATCCTGGCTCTTAATCTTGTCTTAATGACTAGACTATGTTTTTTTCTGTATCCGTCTAATCCCCAGAACACTGCATTGGTCTCTCATTTTTCTTGCTCCATCTGGTGTGCTCCATCCACTTGGCTTTCTCTCCCTTTTGGTAGTCTCTGAAAGCCTCTCTCAGTTTTTGATGTTTGAATGAATCACTGTCCACCATGCGCTCCTGGGTCCTGGCTCTTCCTGCTCTGATTAGTTCCACTGCCACTCATAAAATGGGACAAAGTTGGGAAAGGTGAGATCACCTTTGAGGATTGTGTCAGTACTGGGCAGTTATTCCCCACAGAAATGAGAGGATAGCAGCGTAGCACATTTGTCATTGTTTTGCATCAGTATGATTCTTAAAGATGTTTTTGTTTCTCATACAAATACCTAGTACAGTGTTTGGCATCAGTATGATTCTTAAAGATGTTTTTGTTTCTCGTACAAATACCTAGTACAGTGCCTTGCAAACAGAACATTCACAAAATGTTGACTTGAAAAGCTAATAACAAAGGGGGCCTCCCTGGTGGCACAGGAGTTAAAGATAGTGCTATCAAGCTATCTATAGCCAGCCACTGTAGCATGATTTCCATCTCTGGTTGGCCAGAGATGGCAGACCTCTCCTGGCTTGCCCGCTGCTTTCCTCAGCAGTGTATTTCAGTGGATCTGCCTGTTCTGCTCCCCACTCTCTGGTGAATCCCCTCACTCCCCCGTATCTCTGGCTTACACCCCAGTTTTGTATGCATAAATCTTTTTTTTAAAAGAAAAACTAATAACAAAAATCTGTTATCAAAATGATAATAGTAAATTAATAAAAGCTCAGAAGTTCTTTGCCTTTTTATTTTACACATATCTCTAAAGAAATTCTTTTGTGCCAAAATGAAAAATTTGTATAACTTTACCCCTTTTAGTTCTCTGATGGCGGACTACTTTTCTGCAGGTAAAAATTGAGAAACAATTCTCAGAAATATTGTAACTCTTTTGGTGCTGACTAACAAGAGGTTTTAAAAAGGCAGATCATCTTATATTTGGCATGCCACATGGGTATGTTCCTGTAGAAATGGAGCTTGTGTAGTGTATGTAATTCATGCTAATATCAGATTTTTTTTTCTTTTCAGAGGTATAGGCGTAAGAATGACGGAACCAGTGTATCTCAGCCCTTCATTTGACAATCTGTTGCCTGGCTATGTATTTTTACAGGTAAGTATTTGTAAAAGTAAAATATTTAATAACTTTGAAATATTTTTGTGAATTGTTTGAGATCTAAAGTTTTTTTCCCTGCTTCTAGCTTATTTTTTGTAGTGTGTATTTTTTCTAATAGGTCTTTTGCTAGGCAGTAAGAAAAAACTTAGTACTTTTTTCTTTTTCTCTGATTTTTTTATAACTACTTTTTCTCCTCTTTGTCAAGGGTGCTTTAATAGCTTATTACAATTAATGTTTTCCATCTGAGAATATTAATCTCTGAATTATGTGTTCATTTGATATACATGTCAGTGTCCATTTGTAACCTTGAGTAAAATTCAATTGGTTTACTACTAATGTGTTTTGTCAAGTGGTTATTAATTACTTTTGTGTACATTAAATCATTTGATTTGTTATCTGCTGCTTAGGTGGTGATATTGGTGGTGGTGGTATTATTATTATTCCCTAAAAAAGATGCATATACTGAAGATGATCTGTTAGGGTTCTTGAGCAAGGTCATACAATTAGTAATTGTGTGTGAACTCATGTAGATATTATTTGCTTTCTTTTCTGCCAGTGTTTAATCAAAAGGCATTTATAAATTAATAGGTTATCTCTGGTGTTAAAAAATAGAAAAACAGATTTATGTTATTATCTAATTCCACACTAATGATGACTTAACACATTAAGATATATAACCTAATGTATAATTATACTGATTCTTCTTTAGTAATATATGGCAGCCACTTTTTTAAAAATAAGTTTGGTGTTGTGCTAGGTGATTTGAATATATTACCTCAAGTCTGCATTGCACAAAGTTAAGAAAATTGATGTTTCTGAAATGTTATCAGTAATTTGTTGATTTAGGGAGATGAGGTTATTCATAGGCTGATTAAAGAAGTTGTGTCTTGAGGAAATCATGTTTTAGTAAGCACAAGAGTTTGGAATCTAGTAGCCTTTGCCCATTCTCTGTGAAAGTTACTGTATAGAATAGGTGGCTATAGATACTTACTTTGTTGGGAAAGTTCCTGGGGAAATTTGTCCTTTTTATTTATTTTGATGCCTTCTGCCCTGCCTTTCCATGGACAATCATTATCCCTAAATCTCTATTCTTTGTTGCCTTTTTTTTTTTAAAGTTTTTTTTTTTTTAAAGATTCATTTATTTATGCATACAAGAACTGGGGTGTAGGCCAGAGGTGTGGGAGGTGAGAGGATTCATCAGAGACAGAGTGGAAAACAGAACAGACAGATAGAGCGAAGTATCTATCTGCTGAGGGGAGCAGTGGGCAAGTCAGGAGAGGTCTGCTGCACCATGTGGGTAACTTCCTGGCTGGCCAGGGATTGAACTCACACTGCAGAGGCTGTTGACAGCTTCACAGCACTGTGCTCAACCCCTCATGCCACCAGGGAGGCCTCTATTTGTAGCTTCTTTTTTTTTTTTTTTTAAGATTTATTTGTTTATATAAGCACTGGGTACAGTCAGAAGCGTGGGAGGGTGAGAGAATTCACCAGAGCCAGAGCAGAGAGCAGAGCAGGCAGACTGATGAAGTGCACTGATGAAGTGCACTGTTGAGGGGAGCAGCGGGTGGCAGGAGCGGTTTGCGCGCCATGTGGGACCCTCGCCTGGTGGCCGGGGATCGAACCGGTGCTGCAGAGGCTGCGGGCAGCTTCGCAACCCAGCTCTCAACCACTGCGCCACCGGGGAGGCCCCTCTTTGTAGCTTCTAACAGATGATGCAAAAGTTTCACTTTGTATTCCTCCCCCCATTTTTTTTTTTGGGTATGGAATATTAGGGGTAAGGGAATGTTATTAGCATAAAACAAATTCTTCAATGGGAATTAGATGGTGAGGCACTTGAAATTGCAGAATTTTGTACATTTTCTGAAAAAAAAATCCAGAGCTTCTCCATATTTTTAAGAGGTGTCTGGCTTTTAAAATATTGATAACCATTGAACTTAGAAAAGGCAATATACTTTATTTACAGAATTAGAGAAAATGTCATGTTTGCATGTGTGTATGTCTGTGCATGTGACTGTCCTATGAGGTCACAGGGTAATTTAGGATCTAGGGTCATTGGTTATTTTTTATTTTTCATTCCAGAATTTGCCATCTGCTGTAGTAACTCATGTTCTGGATCCTCAACCTGGAGAGAAGATTCTAGATTTGTGTGCAGCACCTGGAGGTAAAACAACACACATTGCAGCACTCATGCATGATCAGGTGAGACTGCCTTCACAGCAAAACTACTTTCAGCATACTACATAGTTGAATGATGAAGTTGGAACTGCACCTAACTTACAAACATACAGACATTCACAATCTGATTAATTTCAGATTCAACCCAAGGTGAAGACTTTTTGGTGCTAGTCATCATTTATTAGGTTCAGTAGACAATTATAATTTGTGAAGATTGTCATAAGATCTTGATTCCCAAAATTGCTTATACAATTTAGAATAGAATTCTTCCCTCATAAAATTAAGTTTAAAGAAAACATTTGGGACCTATCAGTGTTCTTAGTTATAGCACTTGATACTTGTTTAAGCTATTAAATTCCTCCATTAAAAATTAATTTGATAGTATGTTATTAAAGTGTCAAAATATATTTTGATAAATATACATGCATATATGATATAAAATATATATGTAGGCACATATAGAAAATGTGCATTCTTCCTGTCTTAGTGTTCATAAAAACCTTTTCATCTGGCTTAATTATAAAACTTTCTTGTCACAAAATATGAGTAAGTTTTTTTGCTTACTTCAGCTCAGAGCTCTATAAATAATATATAATATCTGTATTTGCCAATTGTTTTCTTTCATGGTGGTTAGTTATATCTGTATTCAAACTCAGTGTGACCATGTAACCATTCTGTACTTCAATTCTCTGTTTTATTGGAGATTCTTCAACTAAAGAAGGATATGGCAAAATGATACTATTTTTCCTATTTGATTCAAATTCCATGAAGTGAAAGGGTTCCTAAAATCCTTACACATGATAGAATCTTCAGATATAATACAGTTTTCCTGATCGGGAGTCAGATTTTAATTGATTGATTGCTTAAACAGGTATTTATTACTTTACTGTGTGCCAAGTACAGGGGATATAGCAGTAAACCCCCAAAACATCAAAAGTTCCTTCTTCATGGCACATACATTTAGTAACAGAAGACATGACAAATAAATAAATATATGGCATATATATGATTGTGATAAGGTTTATGGTGAAAAGTACAGAGGGCTATGGCAATAACAGTATTGCGGGCAGGGAGGGAGAGTGAGTATATAGTTTTAAATAGGATAGTGAGGGAAATCTACATCATGAAGGTGGTGTTTGTGGAAACACAGGTGATGAGCAATGTGATATTTGGGAAAGAATGTTTTCGCTTACACAAGAGGTGTAAGCTCCTGACTTGTTTGACTCACCTCCATAGTTTACAGAAGTAGACTAGGTGAGGGGAAGAGTACAAGAAGAGATCAGAAGGGGAGGCCCAAAGGGAGGATGTTTGAATAGAGGAATTTTGTGTGGTCTGACAGGGCTTCAGTTTTCCTGGGGTGATGAAAAGCCTTTGAAGGTTTTTTAAAAGAATTTTATTTTTCAAGATTTTATTTATTTTTGCGTTGAACTGGGGTGCAGGTGGTGAGAGGATTTACCAGAGACAGAGCGGGGAGCAGAACAGGCAGATTGACTGAAGTACACTGCTAAGGGGAGCAGCAGGCAAGACAGGAGAGGTCTGCTGTACCATGTGGGTGAGCTCCCTGGCCAGGAATCGAACTTAGGACTTTGTGGTGGGCCTCTGTGGTGGTAGCACTGAGACTTAATCCCTACGCCACCAAGGAGGCCCGCCATTGGAGTTTTTATGCAGAAGAGTGACATAGGCTGATTCACTATTTAAAGTATCATTTTGTGATTGTTTCTGGTTTTCCTCATCCTCCAAAGGCTCTTGAACCACAGTACCGTTAATCCTGAGTTCCAAAGCTGTAACCAGAGCCTTGTCCCAGGTTCTTTGGTATATACTTTGTTGCTGATAGTAAGAGCTAGTTGCTCAATACTTGTTTATTTGGCTTTGAGTGGCTGTGTCAACAATTTATTGTTTTCTGCTAGGAGTGACACCTTTCTTTTCTGTATCCACGTTCCTTAGAATCTCCTGTTCCAATTTCCGGGAACAAAAAGGTTTTGACTTCTACCATTTTTATTAGACTTTTTTTTTTTGGTTGTTTTTAACATCTGTTCTCTTCCTTCTTAAGCTATTAAATAATACAAATAGTTATTGCTGAAAGGAGCTGGGAGATAAAGGATGTCAGTTCTTTTTATGCACCAAGAACTGAGCCCTGTGGATGTCTCACTTTAAGTGCTAGTCTGATTCTTGTGGTTGTCCCTGCACCTTCCTTTTATGTGGAAAAGGCAAGTTTCCAAAGTCTCTTGGTAATCCGAAAGAGAAAAAGGAAATAGTCACCTACATAAATGTAAAAAGATTGTATTTTATGTGTAGAATAAGACTAAATGGAATTACTGGACTAAAAATATAGCTGTTTCAAAACAAAAATTATATTTTGAAAATAAATATTGACACTGACAGTGTTTTTCTCCTGTGAATGACCTAATTATATTACAAATGGTTGGTAAAGGGAATGAAGACTGTGAGGTTGCAGAAAATTTTGCACTAGCCATGTCTAATTTGACTGACAGCTTTACTGCCGTGGGAAAATCTTAATTTTTTTTTCCTACTCCAAAGGTTCTATTTTTTCCTATTTCAAAGGGAGGCCATTAAGTCTAGAAATTTAGGTAATACTACTTTGTCATCCATTGTAACATACTATCAATCATCCATTTACTAACTAAGGATTTGTCTGATTTTTTTTTTATTTGTCTGATTTTTTTGGTAAAGATTTATTTATGCATACAAGAACGGGGTATAGGGATAAGGGGATTCACCAGAGACAGAGTGGGGAACAAAACAGGCAGATTGACTGAAATACACTGCTGAGTGGAGCAGAGGACGAGACAGGAGAGGTCTGCTGCACCATGTGGGTAGCTCCCTGGCTAGGGATCGAATTTGTGCTGCAGTGGCTGCGGGTAGCTTCATAGTGCTGAGACTTAATCCCTTGTGCCACCAGGGAGACTCCAGGATTTGTCCGATTTGTAGACTTGGTGGCCACCTTGTTTAATTCTTGCTGTCATCTGGGAAGGAGAATAAAATGTACTCCTGTTGATTGAAAATAAATATTGCTCTTACAAAAAAATGAAACATAATTTTGGTCGTTGCATTGAAAACAATCTGTAAGAGTTCCAAGGAGAGAAGTTTGAAGACAGCAATTCAGGGGAAATTCTTGGAGGTAATAAGTGGTTAGAATCTGCATGTTTTTAAGGTGGAACTATTGATAGATTGGATATGGGCTGTGAAATGAATAATCAAGGATAATTCCTAAGGTTTTTGGCCAAAAGAACTGGAGCAGTAAGAGTTGTTGGATATGATAACTATAAAAGGAGCAAGTTTTATAGAGAAAATTCAGAAATTTATTTTGGGGTGTATTCAAGTAATGTGTATTAGACTTCCAGTAGATGATATTGAGTAGGTGTTTGGGTATTTGAGCATAGTGCGCAGGGGAGACATGTGGATTGGAAATACAAACTTGGAAGTCATATATAAAGCCATAAAACTGATGATGAGTAGCAAGAGGGTAGACAAGGTCAAAAAACTGAGCCTTGAGGATTCTTTGAGGTAAGGAAAATTTGAAAGAATGGCCAGTGATGTAGGAGAAAAACCAAAGGATTATGATACCCTCTGGTTGAAAGATGCAGAGACCAGCTGTATTGCTAGGTCACCTTCTGTGGACTGAGAACTCAATGGATTTAGCACCTTGTAGGTGATTGGAGAACTTGTTATGAACAGCTTTAGTGAAAATGTTTGTGAAAATGTTAGTGAAAATGTGGAAATGTTTGCTTGGATGAGAGGGAGCGGAATCAAAGAAATTAATGTATGTCTCTTAATCCTTCTGTTAAGACCAGGGCCAGCCCAGCAGAGGGTACATGTGGATTGCCATTGGCAAGGTCAAAGCACAGGAATGCCAAGTGTTGAATTGCTTTTCAAGTCTCTGCTAGTGTCACACTGTCATCCCATTGACCAGTGCAAATCACATGGTTGAGTCTCAGTCAGAATGGCAGGTACTAAAAGGTAAATGGCAAAGGATAGATTCAGGGAGTGTGGGTTTAAGCAGTCTTCCACAGTGGGCCAGCAACATAGAAATCAATAACTTAAGTAGAAATAATGAGCCACGATGAGTCCCAGATTTTGTTGCTGCATTCAAGTTGTTGTTTGTTTAAATAGTTAAACAAATTTTATGTAAATGTAGTCTGTTATCTTATTATACTTTTGTGAAAGTAGCCTTTAGCCAATAGAGTAACTCCTTCACTATAGTACAATTGATCCTTATTCTGATTGTTTCTGCCTACTTTACCAGTTCAACTACTTGAAATGATTTTCCTGTTAAGGTACTTATTGAAACTATCTCCTTCTAAATCTGGTGTTACATTTAGGAATTGGTATTAGAATCTATGCAATTGATAGATGATAGACGTAGCATACAAGGACATTGTGTAGAAAAGGAACCAAAGCAAGAAAACACATTGAGGGCCTCCCTGGTGACTCAAGGGGTTAAGACGCAGCCTATGAAGCTATTCACAGCCACTGCAGCACAGATTCAATCCCTGGCCAGGGAGCTACCCACATGGTGCAACAGACCTCTCCTGACTCACCTGCTGCTCCCCTCAGCAGTGTATTTCAGTCAGTCTGCCTGTTCTGTCCCCTACTCTGTCTCTGGTGAGTCCTCTCACCCTGCACACCTCTGGCCTGTACCCCAGTTCTTGTGTGCATAAATACATAAATCTTTTTTAAAAAAACACATTAAAGGGCTAATTTCACCATCTAATTTCACCATCATTAGGATTTCATAGTGTTTTAAAATATGGGTACCATGATGCATTCTTGAAATATGGCCTCTTCTCTTTATTGACTTTCACTTAACAGTGTTACCATATAAAATTATTTTTGACCTACTTTTTATACCAGGCTGGAACATTTTGCTGTGCTATTTTTCTGTCTTTAGCTATTAGAATTCATGTGAATTTTATGTGTATAGTTCAGGAAATAGTGGGGATTGATCTTACCGGTAGCATTCATTTGTTTCTCAAAACACTAGAAGGCAGATGTCTCAGAACATTAGCTCCTGTTTTGTTTTGTTTTTTTAAAGATTTATTTATTTATTTATACAAGCACTGGATACAGTCAGAAGTGTGGGAGGGTGAGAGAATTCACCAGAGCAGAGCGGGGAACAGAACAGGCAGACTGATGAAATACATTGCTGAGGGGAGCAGCTGGCGGCAAGAGTGGTCTGCGTGCCATGTGGGACCCTTGCCCGGCGGCCAGGGATTGAACCAGCGCTGCAGAGGCTGCGGGCAGCTTCGCAACCCAGCGCTCAACTGCTGCGCCACCGGGGAGGCCCCAAATTGGTGGTTTTTAATACTTCTAATGAGTGTTTGTAAAAAGTTTCTTTAGAAGATTACAAATACTATTTTTGATTTTGAGTTTTGTTAATTAAAAGTAGCTGGGCATTATCAGAAAATCCTCTGTCAAGAATGTGTTTTTAACCCCTCGTGGTACAGGCGTTAAAGACACAGTGCTGTCAAGCTATCACCAGCCACTGCAGCATGAGTTCGATCCTGGCCCCAGCCAGCGAGCAACCCACATGGCACAGCAGACCTTTCCTGTCTCACCAACTGCTCCCCTCAGTGTGTATTTCAGTAGATCTGCCTGTTCTGCTCCCCACTCTGTCTCTGGTGAATCCTCTCACCAACCCCCCTCTGCCTACACCCCAGTTCTTGTATGCATAAATAAATCTTTAAATAAAATGTGTTTTTTAGAAGAAAAGGAGATAATTTGATATGTTTGAGATATATATATATATATATATAGTTTAAGGAATTCAGCTTTGTGACTGAGGTAGGAGGAAAGTGGGGAAAATAATTTTTTGTAAGTTTTGTTCATTAATTTTTATGACTACTTTGAATTTATTCTTCATTTTTATTTATTTACATTTTTTAGGGAGAAGTTATAGCACTGGATAAAATATCCAACAAGGTGGAAAAAATAAAGCAGAATGCTTTACTGTTAGGGCTGTATTCCATCAGGGCATTTTGTTTTGATGGAACAAAGGCTCTTAAATTCAATATGGACACAGAAGGTGAGTTAAATTTTTAAAGGTTTATATCACTGACTTTTACAAATTTTACTAGTATTGTTCTATCCCAAAATATCCATATAGCCTTGAAACATGAACATGGATATGAGTGATTTGGCTGTAATACCTTTTTTGCTTTTCATCTCATTCCTGAATATTAGATCTTTAATAATACAGAGTTAAACCCTCAAGCCTTGGTCAAACTCATTGTTCTTAACTTATTTGTCTTAAAGTCATGGTACATTTCAGAGAGCTTTTAAGATATGATGTTAGCTTTTTAATTTTATAATTACTGAGGAAGGTTGGATCTAGGGGCTATTGACTCATTCTAGGGCATAACATTGCTGAAAAAAAAGAAGGGAGGCTGTGGAACTATACTGCTAGTACTTTTGACCAGCACCTAACAGGTGCTCTTTTTTTTTTGTTGGGGGGCAGGGGAGGTACTTTTTGCAGTAAAAATGACTAAGAAAAGTGTCAGCTCCAGGATGGCCATTAATTCCAGGTCCTAGTTCCAAGAATTATGGTTTCTGACATTGAGAGCTGGAGGTCTCATTTGAATAGGTTTTGGTTTGGACTATATCAATAGGATAATCTTCAACTCTAATTACCATGTATTTAATATTTTTACAAAGCAAATCTACATGAAATATACATCTGAATTAGTTTCTTTAGCTCCCTCATTGAAGGAAGAAATAGGTTTTTGTTTTGCTTTTTATACCAGATGATAATTTAAAATCTTGATAATTGCTTTCATCTCAGGATTTTCTATTTTAGACTGATAAGACAGATAGCAAATATGTTTTATTTTCTTCATAGGGGAACCTCCATTCTTACCCGAGTCTTTTGATAGAATTCTTCTTGATGCACCCTGTAGCGGAATGGGACAGAGACCAAACATGGCTTGTGCTTGGACTTTGAAAGAAGTGACATCATATCAGCCATTACAGCGAAAGCTTTTTACTGTGGTATGTGATGATACTTTGCTACGAAGGGAAGTTGACCTTTACCACTTTGTTGTTTCAAAGACTAGGAACAGTATTCATGGCAGCATTATTCACTATAGCAAAATGTGGAAACAATACAAGTATTCAGCAACAGATGAATGGATAAACAAAATGTGGTTAATGCATACATGGATTATTAGTCTTCCTTAAAAAGGAATGAAAGTCTGATAGTTGGTATTATAAATATGGATGAATTTTGAGAACATTACACTAAGTGATGTAAATCAGACACAAAAGGACGGATATTGCATGATTCCACTTAAATGAAGTAACCAGAATAGGGACATTCATTGAGACAATATACAATTGAGGTCACCAGGCCCTGGAGGGATTTACTGAGGAGGTATTATTTAATGAGTTTTTGACTTGGAAGGATGATAAAGTTCTGGAGATGGATAATAGTGATGGCTGCACAACAGTGTGAATGTACTTAATGCTACTTAATTGTACTTAAAAACAGTAAAGATAGTAAATTTTGTATTTATGTGTATTTTGTCACACACAAATCCCCAGAAAATATGGTTTTAGATACAAGGAACCTTACTTTTTGCTGACTCAATGCAAGCAATAGTAGAATGTCTTCCCTGAGATGTTTAACTTCAAACATTCTACTCTATCCTAACAGTCATTGTGTTGTTAATATATAGCTACTAAATTATATAAACAATTGGATATAAGATAGGTTCCGGGGGGCCTCCCTGGTGGCGCAGGCAGTTGAGCGCCCGCTGTATAGCTGTCCGCAACCTCTGCGGTGCCGGTTTGATTTCCACTGGCCTCGGAGCAACCCATGTGCGGAGCAGACCTCTCCTGTCTCACCCGCTGCTCCTCTCAGCAGTGTATTTCGTCAGTCTGCTTGTTCTGTTCCCTGCTCTGTCTCTGGTGAGTCCACTCACCCTCCCACACATCTGGCCTGTACCCCGGCTCTTGTATAAATAAAATTAATCTTTAAAAAGAAAAAAAAAAGATAGGTTCCTATTTACATAGGGTTCCTGGATCATCTTAGATAACAAGTTAGAAGTTTAAAGTTCAATAGAGGCAAACACTTACAAAAAATGAGAAATTCAGTGAAGGATGTAGAACCATAAAAACTACACATTTAACTGATCCGAAGTACATTTCTGATGAAGTTCAGATAGAATATTTGGGGCTTTCTCTCAGTCTTTCAAAAATAATTCAGTGAATTTCATAGAATATGGATAGCATTTGAGCAAAAAAATTTCATTGTTTCCTCTCAACCCTCTAATTATATAAATGCATAGTCTACAACAATAATGGGCATACCATAGCTAGTCTCTAAAATTCATCTTTAAGTACATTTGTATTCATCTCTTCAGTATTTCCTTTCATATGCAAAAGTGACACTGGTAGTAAATTATTTAACTTTTTCTTCTCGTATACAGACTTCAAGGAATACATCCTTAAAGTTAAAATAGCAGGCAACAAAAAAGAAGCTTTACTTACACATGAAACCCACTGTTAAAAGTAGGCCTTCTTGCAGAGATTTAGCTTTTTGATCGTTTTAGGCTATAGCTAAAAAAAAAATTAAAGACTAAAGGAGTAGGTGCATTGATCTCTGTAAAGGAATAGCTGACAGTGTGTGTGAGAGAATTTAATATAGCAGGTATGCCAGTTGGCATGGATAGATGTTGAATGTGGACTTTAGAATCAGACATTTCTTGATTGGGGCTATGGGTCCTGCACATAAGTGATTGTTAAGTACATTGCTTTCCATAGCGAGAAATGGGGATAATAGCTTTATCTAATAAGGTTACCCTTTTTTTTTAAAGATTTATTTTATTTATACAAGAGCTGGGGTACGGTCCAGATGTGTGGAAAGGTGAGAGGATTCATCAGATACAGAGCGGGGAACAGAACAGGCACACTGACGAAATACACTGCTGAGGGGAGCAGTGGGCGAGGCAGGAGAGGTCTGCTGCGCCATGTGGGTTGCTCCGAGGCTGGCGGGGATCGAATAGGCACTGCAGAGGCTGCAGACAGCTTCACAGTGCTGCGCTCAACCGCCTGCGCCACCAGGGAGGCCCAGGTTACCTTTTATTAGAGATAGGAACCATGTTTCATGGTTGTTATAACTGAAAAATTTCAGGTAAAGTGCTTAAATTAATCATTGACACACAATAACAAATTTTGAATTTTTATCAGCATACTCTAGTCGAAAAATTACAACTATATAACTATATACGTGTGTATAGTGCTCTATAAATATATATATATTACATATATGTAAGTCTGGGTGTTTGAAAAGATATCCTTTAGTTATTTGGAACAAATTCATTTTTGTGTAACAGCTTATTTCCTATTTCATTTATTTACACAAATATTAAGTACCTCCTGTGTGTAATACACTTTCTAGATGCTGTAATACAATAGTGAAAAAATAAATAACTCTCTTTTTCATGGCTTTTCTCATTGGGGGGGGCAAATGGATGAGTAAGTTACTTAATACATTACAAGGCTATAATGCTATGGAGCAAACTAAGGAGGGGGAAGATAAGAGTGTTGGATTGGAATAGTTGCAATTTTGCATGGGTGCTTTAAGAAAGGCATTGATGAAATGGTGACATATAAGCAAAGATATGATTATAAAAGAGCAAGCAGTGCAGAGAATTAAAAGATCTTACTAAGCTCACACAGATTCTGAGGTGGGAGTGTACCACACGTATTCCAGAACAGCAGAGACCAGTGTTGCTAAAGCAGAGTGAACAAGGTATAAGAAGTAAAGTCAGAAGGTAGTGTTGAGGTCTGCTTTATATATGGCCTTGAAACCCACTATAGGGATTTGAACTTTGACTCCAAGTGAAAATGGAGGGCACTTGAAGAGTTTTAAGCTGAAACATGACAAGTTTTTTTTTTTTTTTTAAATTTTTGTTTATATAAGAACTGGGGTACAGGCCAGATGCACGGGAGGGTGAGAGGATTCACCAGAGACAGAGTGGGGAACAGAACAGGTAGACTGACGAAATACACTGCTGAGGGGAGCAGCGGGCGAGACAGGAGAGGTCTGCCTTACCATGTGGGACCCTCACCGTCCTGCCAGGATCGAACCCGCGCTGCAGAGGCTGCAGACAGCTTCACAGCACTGCGCTCAACTGCCTGTGCCACCAGGGGAGGTCCTGAAACATGACAAATTTTAAAAGTATTGTTTTGGCTGCTACAATAGAAGGGCAGAAGAAGAAAACAGGTTGACAAAGTTGGAGACTGTTGCAATAATTCAGGTAAAAGATAGTGGTCATTGGCCAGAATGACCGCAGTGGAAATGGTGAGAGGTAGCCCAATTCTTGATATATTCTGAAGGTAGAACCAATAGAATTTGCAGGTGGATGAGGACTGTGAGCCAGAGGCCTAAAAGGATACTGTGAGGATTGGGACCTGAACATCTGAAAGGATCGGGAGGCTTCTGTAGATTTCAGGGGGACGATAGTTCAGTTTGGAACATGTTGAATTTGGTAGTAGAAATAGTGAGAAGGCAATTGAATATATGATGGAATTCAGCAAGGAGTCTGGCCTAAAAATGTAACTTTGTTGAGTTTTACCATAAAATGGTATCTAAAGTTGTGAAACTGAATGATCATGTTTGGGAAATTCTTGATCTTAAGTGGACCATAACAACTCCAAGATAATGAAATGCCTCTAGTCTGGAACAGTAATTAGAGAAACAGTCTTGGTCATACAGAACAACCATTTTATTTATGCCAAACATTTGCAACATAACACATAAAATAAAATCCCTTAAAATATACCCCTGCAGCAGATACAGTCTGATAACGTGTTTCTTTAGGCAGTTCAGCTGCTGAAGCCAGGGGGCGTGCTGGTCTACAGTACGTGCACTATCACACTTGCAGAGAATGAAGAACAAGTTGCCTGGGCCCTCACAACATTTCCTTGCCTTCAGCTTCAGTCCCAGGTAAGAGTAATTGCAGTTTTCTCTGTGTAATCTTATAAACCATGGAAACTTAAGTGCAGTGATAAACACAGGGTGTTATGTGAAGTAATTTGGCAAAATTTCTGAAACAAATACTGCAATAGCAAGGCTATTTCTTGAACTAAATCCAGTTTAGGCTGTCCACAGAGATTTTTTATGTACTGATGTTTTTCCGTCTTCCTTCCTTCCCTTTATGTTAAAATGCCATGGCGCTCAGGTGTATTTCTGTTACATGTCTGTAACTTGTGGATCTTGTTCATGGTACTAAAACTTTTCTTTCCCTTTAGTCCTAGATTTTTCTGGCATGGAAGTGTTGCACATTTTTCTCATGTCACATCAGAGCCCAAAAAGGTTTTAATAACTGGGATGTCAAAGACTAGCCAAGGGGGAAAACTGGTTCAGGATTATAGCTTCTTTACAGTTTCTTATGTAAATGTGTAACTTTTGAAAAGCTTTTTGTACTTTAGCACTGCCTTTCTTCTATGGCTCTTATTAAAGTGACTTTTTGTGATTAGATTTTTAGGCCATAATGTCTGAGATTATTTAAATCTGTAATAATGCTCACATTCATGCAGATACACTGAAAATCTAGCTTTATTACCTAAAGAATTCTAGTAGGTAATTGGAATACATGAGTAAGAAGCAACCAGAGATAATTTCCAGACTCTGAAATTAAGATAATTTATATTATCTTAAGATAATTGGTAGATGTAAGGAAAAACATCAGAATTTACTTGGAATTACGTGTGTCTACATATACACTCAAAATATTCCTAATAGAGATGAATTTTTACTCCATGCATTAATAAGCAATTTTCTTAGGTATGTGTTTGAAAATCTGTCTTTATCAACACATAAACATTTGTCTGTGAAATCGTGATTTAAATTAGGATTATGTAACTGTTAAAGTAATGGTTTGCAGATATTCTTAAAATTCTATATTCTTCTGAACTAATTGATGCAGCCTTCATTTATACATTTTCTTTTTCTGATACTTAACAGTACTTTTTTTTCCCCCAGAACAAAAAGAAACTTTCTTTTTTTTTAAATTATTCATGCCCATACCCCATCTGCTCTCCCCCACTGCTCTGTTTTCTCTGGTAACCATTCTTTCACTGAGTTCAAGATTTATTCCTACTATACTTTGCCTGCCTGTGTTTTTGTTGTTGTTGTTATTTATATTTCCACTGATGAATGAAATGATCTGATACCTATCTTTCATTTTTTTTTACTTATTCCACTTAATATAATCACCTTAAGTTCCATCCATTTTGTCCCAAATTCACTGTTTCATCATTTTTCACAGCTCTATAGTACTCCATTGAATATATATTCCACAATTTCTTTACTTACTCATCTGCTGAACAGCACTTGGGTGGGTTCCATGTCTTTTCACCTACATACTGGGTTGATAATTTTGCAGGATAAAGAATTCTTGGTTGGCAGTTCTTGTAGGCTTGTGAACACTTCCACTCTTTTTTTTTTTTTTTTAAAGAGGCATGTATTATTTATTTATTTGTTTGTTTGTTTGTTTATACAAGCACTGGGTACAGTCAGAAGCGCGGGAGGTTGAGAGAATTCACCAGAGCCAGAGCGGGGAGCAGAGCAGGCAGAAGGACCGAAGTACACTGCTGAGGGGAGCAGTGGGTGGCAGGAGAGGTCTGCGCGCCATGTGGGACCCTCCTCCGGTGGCCGGGGAGCAGCCGGGGATCGAACCGGCGCCGCAGAGGCCGCGGGCAGCTTCGCAACCCAGCGCTCAACTGCTGCGCCACCGGGGAGGCCCCACTTCCACTCTTTTTGCCTGGAGTGTTTGGGCTGAAGTCCAGGGAAATCCTAATTTGGGATCCTTTGTAAGTTATTTTATTCTCTTTGATCCATGCAAAATTTTTCTTTATCTTTGGTTTTTAATAGTTTGACTATGATGTGTCTAGTGTAAGTCTTCACAGTATGACTGCCCACAATGGCCATTGCCTCTCTGCCCCTGTCTCTGCTCCTCTTTCTTCAGGACTGTAGTATCTGCATGCCAGAGGATTTGTGAATTATCTTACAAGTTTTCTCTCTTTCTTTGGGCTTTTTATGGACTCCTCCTGGCTTCTATTTATCTCTTATGGGAGAGGAAAAGCCAAGACATCATTGGCAGACTTCCCAATAACCCAAGTCAGTGCCTGTAGAGTCAGCACTGCCCTGCATAGTATCTGTGCTCACTCAAGTGTCACCAGAATTCCTCCAGAGAATTTCACAATGTCCCTGGTTGCTCCCATTCTGACTTGGGTGATCATCCTGGAGCCCAGTCTTGTTTCCCTTTGTTTCCTTCCATTCCTTACCCTCAGCAGCCAATGACCTTAGTTTAAGATCTCGTGGGGAAGTTTGGGATACTGTGGAGCATCTGGATCTCCCTACAAGCAAATATTTTTGTATAGCTGTTTTTATGGAAGAGGATGACCCCAGCCTGCCTTTCTCTTTTTAAAGTTAATTTTATTTAAAAAATATTTTATTCACACGCGCGCGCGCACACACACATTTTACATCATTGTTCACTTTCGTACAGTGTTTGATTTCTCCTCATAAAATTCCTACCACCAAGTCACCCGTGAACCATCACCATAGTCTCTTGTGCTATTCCCTCCCCTGTTTTAATCCCTTTCTCTCCTCCTCCCCTGCTGAATGCCTCTCATTTATAATTGCCTGCTTTTTTTTTTTCCTGATCCCTTGTTTGGTTTTCCAGTATTCCTCCTGTAAGTGAAACCATCCCATATTTTTCTTTATCCTTTTATTTCACTGGCCACGGTTCCTTCCAGCTCTATATCCATGTTGCCACAAATGGCATGAGTTTATCTTTTTTGATTGCTAAATAGTATTCTATTGTGTATATATACCACATCTTTTTTTTTTTAAGATTTATTTATTTATTTATACAAGCACTAGGTATAATCAGAAGCACTGGAGGGTGAGAGAATTCACCAGAGCGGGGAACAGAACAGACTGACAAAATACACTGCTGAGGGGAGCAGCGGGCATGGCAGGAGAGATCTGGGTGCCATGCGGGACCCTCGCCAGCAGCCGGGGATCAAACCAGAGCTTCAGAGGCTGCCAGCAGCTTCGCAGCCCAATGCTCAACCGCTGCGCCACCAGGGGAGGCCCTATACTACATCTTCTTGATCCAGTTATCTATTGCTGGGCATTTACGTTGTTTCCATATCTAACCTATTGTAAATAGTGCTGCAGTAAACATTGGAGTGCAGGTTTCCTTTTGAATTAATGTTTTTGTGTTCTTTGGGTAGATTCCTAGAAGTGGAATTGCTGGGTCATATGGTTGCTTCATTTTCAGTAGTTTGAGCAACCTTCACAAAGCTTTCCATAGTGGTTGGACCAGTTTGCATTCCTACCAGCAGTGTAGGAAAGTCCCTTTTTCTCTACATCCTTGCCAGCATTTGTGGTTGTCAATTTTTTTAATATGTGTCATTCTCACTGGTGTGAGTGGTAGCCCATTGTGGTTTTGATTTGCATTTCCCTGATTTTTAGTGATGTTGAACATTTTTTCATATACCCATCAGCCATTTGTATTTCCTCTTTAAAGAAGTGTCTTTTTAGCTCTTCTGCCCATCTTTTGATTGGACTGTTTTTGTTTTTGCTGAGTAGTGTAAGCTCTTTGTAGATCTTTGAAATCTGTCCCTTATCAGTTATGTGAAGTGCAAAAATCTTCTCCCAATCAGTGGGAAGTGTCTTTGTTTTGGTTATTGTCTCTTTTGCTGTACTGAAGCTTTTTAGTTTGATGTAATCCCAGCTGTTCATGTTTTCCTTCAGTTTCTTTACTTTGGGGGATGTCTTTTTTTTTTTTTTAAAGGATTTATTTATTTATGCATATAAGAACTGGGACACAGGCCAGAGGTGTGAGAAGTGAGAGGATTCACCAGAGACAGTGGGGAGCAGGACAGGCAGACCGACTTAAATACACTGCTGAGGGGAGCAGAGGGCGAGTCAGAAGAGGTCTGCTGCACCATGTGGGTGGCTCCCTGGCCAGGGATTGAACCTGTGCTACAGTGGCTGCGGACAGCCTCACAGGTTGCATCTCAACCCCTTGCGCCACCAGCGAGGCCTGGGGTCATGAGACTTTAAAGATGTTTCTGAGATGGATGTCATGGAGTGTTTTGCCTATATTTTCTTCTGTATATTTTATGGTTGTAGGTCTTATGTTCAAGTCTTTTATCCATTTTGAGTTGGTTTTTGTGAGTGGCGTGAGGTAGTAGTCTAGTTTCATTCTGTTGCTTGTGGTGATAGAGTTTTCCCAGCACCATTTATTGAACAAACTGTCCTTGTTCCATTGCATATTCTTTGCTTCTTTGTCAAAGATTAGTTGTCTATAAATGAGTGGCTTTATTTCTGGGTTTTCAATTTGATTTCATTGGTTTGTGTGTCTTTTTGTTCCAGTACCATACTGTTTTAATTATTATGGTAGTATAGTTTGAAGTCTGGGAGTTTGATACTTCCATTCACCTCCTTCTTATTTAGGATAGGTTTAAATTTTTTTTTAATTTTTTTTTTTTTAATAAGGGCTGAATTTTTTTTATTTTTAAAGATTTATTTATTTATTTATTTATACAAGCACTGGGTACAGTCAGAAGTGCGGGAGGGTGAGAGAATTCACCAGAGCAGGGAGCAGAGCAGGCAGAGGGACCGAAGTACACTGCTGAGGGGAGCAGAGGGCGGCAGTAGAGGTCTGCGCGCCATGTGGGACCCTCCTCCCGTGGCCGGGGAGCAGCCTGGGATCGAACCGGCACTGCAGAGGCTGCAGGCAGCTTTGCAACCCAGCGCTCAACCGCTGAGCCACCGGGGAGGCCCAGGATAGGTTTGACTATTTGTTCTATTGTTCTATTTCCTTGAAGAATGCCATTGAGATTTTTATAGGAATTGCATTAAATCTGTATATTGCTTTCAGTAGGATGGCCATTTTGATAATGTTCTTCCAATCCATGAAACAGGGTATGTGTTTCCATTTCCTTGTGTCATCTTCTATTTCTTTTAACAGTGTTTTATAATTTTCTTTGTATAGGTTTTTCCCCACCTTTGTTAGGTTTTTTTTTTTTGTTGTTGTTGTTCTTTCTCTAGTTCTTGGAGATTAGGTTGTTTCTTTGACTTCTTGTTTCTTGATGTGGGCCTGTATTGCTGTATACTTTCCTCTTATTACTGCTTTCACTATGTCCCACACATTCTGGAAAGTTATGTCCTCAATGTCATTCATCTCAAGGTGTTTTTTAATTTCTTGATCTCCTCATTTAATCCAGTGGTTTTCCAGTAGTGTGGGGTCTCAGCCTTTCTATTCCACCATGTTGTGGGTGGAGTCCTTTGCTGGTATTGGTATGGGTTGGAGAGGTGTATCTTAGGATTCATTGCCTAAGGAGCTCCTGTCAGTTTGGGGGAATCCAATAAAGCAAAATTTTATCTATTCTCATTATTGTTCCATTTATTGAGTGCCCTCTGTATGCCACTTGATAACACTTTATGGCTTAGAACTGAATATTTTTATCTGTTTTATAGATGGGGGAACTTTGGGTTAAAGTTACACTGATAAAATGTGCCAGATCTATATTTGAATCCATGTATTTCTAACTGTAAAGATCAGGTCTTCTGCAGTGTCATGGTATTTGGTCAGCACATGGGACATAATACTCATTCATCAGGTGACTGTGTATCCTTCCTTTCCCATTTTAACTGTTTTCCTGTAAAAATGGCATGTATATGCCACAAAAATAAAAGGTATTTAGGCATTTCACTTTCTTTAGAATTTATGGTACTTATAATCTAACTTTCTTTTAACTTTAATTAGACACAGGCACACTTAGTAACTATAGGATCTTCATCCAAATTTATTGTTTTTCTAAACAGGAACCACACATTGGAGGAGAGGGAATGTTGGGCGCTGGCTTATCATCTAAACAATTGAAACAGCTGCAGCGATTTGATCCATCTGTTGTGCCATTACAGAATATTGACATTGATTCTCTCAGAGATGCCAGAACAGAAGACATGATTTGGCTGGCAAATAACGATTGTATAGGTTTTTTTATTGCGAAATTTGTAAAATGCAAAAGCACATAGGGTTTTAGAATTGAAAATTCTAAACATTTGCTCTGTGTATGTGTTTAACCAAACTGTTGTCAGACCAAGTGATATGATGGCATGGTTGTTAAGGAAACAGAAAAGACTGCCACCTATTTCACCAGAGATCGAGAGAGAGCAAGTAGTCAAGGAAGTGGTATGAGATTATATTTTGTGTTTTTAAAAGAATTTTTTCTTTATGAATTTATCAGTATAAAGAAAAGGAGATGCCTAGAGATGCCTGCAACATATTGTTACTGGGAGTCTTGTGTTTTAATTTGTAAAGAATACAAGTAATTTTTAATGTTAAAATCAGTGAATCTAACAAAAGGAATAAAATTAGTAATATTTCATTTGGCTATAAAAATAATTGTTTTCAATTCCCAAATTCCTATGTAGTAAATAGTTCCTGAGATTCAGGGCATGGGAAGCAGAATATTTACCATGTGTCAATAACTGGGCATTTTACCTGAGTCTGCTTATTACTTGGTAAATTGACTCTTTAAAATGAAGTCTGTATCTCTTCCATATGACAGTCTGCCTTTACTATGTTACTGTTCATGATTTTAAACTAAAAGTAGGATGAGTTTTTCCTTCAATCTGTAGATAACAAAAATGAGAATATCCTACAATTTTGAGTACATTTTATCTACTGGATTACATATTATGTAATTATTACATATTTGAATGGTAAGAAAGAGAAAACGAATTTCTGACAGCTAGACCTTGGAGTTCTAGTGAACATAAACAATTTCACAGAACAGCAACATCAGACAAAGCAACTGTGACTATGGTAGACCAGGACAAAGAAAGACAACTTTATAGTCAAAGCTGAATTCAGAGAAAATTGACATCATCATCCGAAGCATAAAAGTGACTAAATATAACTGTGCAGTGGTCAATAGAAAAGAATGCATTAAAAAATTAGTTGTATAAGAAAAAAAATAACCTTAAGCTTCATCTACCTGCTTTTTAGGAGGTTAAAAACAGTTATTAAAATACTCAGTACAGTTTAAAGACTCTCACTTGGTATTAACTCCATGTTTTCTTAACTTTCTGATCAGCCCCAAATTCCTGAACCTTGGGCATACATAATAGACATTTGGTAATAATTACCTACTAGTTTCTTTTTTTTTTCCTCATAGGTTTTCCTTAGGAACTTCTTTTAACTATTTATTATATCCATCAAGATTGCAAGGTCTCTTGGATCAGGTAAGATCCTTATTTAGATGGCCTCTATTTGGAAGAAACCTTGCGCTGGTATTTTTGCCCTTAACACTTTTCACTTTAAGTTACTTGAACTCCTACCCAACTATATGGGAAAATCCTAGAGGCGGAGACTCTGTCTTTCCTGTCACCACTTCAGAGTAGGTCAACAAGTACTTATTGGACAAGGGATAGATACGTCACTCTAAGATTCATATGTGTATCTGTCGTCTTTACATCTCTCATTCTGTGTTATATCTAGTAATTACTGTTTGACTAAAGAAGACACTGGTTTACCTGTGATACTTCTTTTCCTGTGACTTAGTATACTTCCCTAAACTTTAAATGTGTTTTTTAAAATCCATTTCCTCTCATGCTGTCTATACAGCCTTATGTATCAAGCTGGAATGAAAATGGGAGAGAATCAGTGCAGCAGCAAATAAGTGAATTTTTGATGATTGCTTGTATTTTGATACTTATTGGTATAGACAAAATAGAAAAATATTTGCATATGGAAAACAGTATGGACAATTACTGTTCAGAATTTGTCCTTTAATAGATATTTTCTGAGGGTTTTTTCCTTCAAAAAAATAGAGCAAATTGGGAAATAAAACACTGAATTTTAAGGGACATAGAAACTAAAGAAAAAATATAATAAAAGGGACTAAATCAGGGAGATGAGGAGAAAAATATAGTAACAGGAAAGCATTTTAATTCAACAATGAGTACATTATAGTTAATATAGGAAAGTACAAATAGATGAAAATATAAGTTAACCAAAATTAAACTGACCCAGAACCACCTAGTTACCTGTATTGTTTAACAGTCTAACTCTTGGAGTTTTAATAAGATCAGAGTATCCAAGACTAGCAGCATTACATAACTGAAGAAAGGGACAAGGGTGAGAAGTTTGTCATAAAGATGGATCTTGGATCTTCATTTTAAAAATGAAAAACAAAATTCAAAACTGGAAGCAAGAATTGCTACACATGTGGAATTAAGGTGAGAGAAATATTCTGTGTTCATATCTTAGTCTCCTTTTCCCTACACAAAGTTACCATTTTTTTTTTAAATCCGACATAATGGGAAGATCACTAAGGAGTATCAGTGATTGTCCTTGTCCCTAATGGTGATGCTCCACAAGGGTAAGTGTTGTTGAATATTAAAATATTCTCACTAGAAGAGTGGTAATTAATACTACTACTAATAAACAGTGCAGAAGCCAACTCTTTATTTGTTTTATATGAATGACTTTAAACCAGGTTTGTTGAACAGTTCAGTGTCGCTGACAGTGGATTTAACAGGAATGCATGGCAGACCATGTTAAAAATGTGGCATTGTCCCAAAGTACAGTAAACTAAGATATCCTACATTTAGCAGCACCTTTTTGTAACAGTAACTTAAATGAGCAGTAGAGAAAGAGCATGGGAAAAACTGAAATGGATTTGACAAAAAACAGAACTGTTAAGAACATTTCCAGCATTTTCTAGGATGACTACAAAAATTGATTCTACAATTGAGTAGGTTAAGATTAAGCCTTTGCTGTGTGAAGAGACTAATTTTTACATTCCACAAGTCAGTAAATAATCCCATTGTCCTTGGGATTATTTCTTCATTTACAAATTTAGCACGCACTGTTTACATATATGCCCACTGTACAGGTTTTACATATAGATACTCTTATGTCAAATCCTTCAGTATACTTTCTGAGGAATACTCTAATATAGGCTAACATATTTCATAGTAAAATGAAAAACTAAAACTTCAGGTACAAAATTTAAATGGAATCATTAGCATGGCTCTTTGAAGGGGGTTAATGGTAGCAGCAAGTAAGATAAATACCAGTTAAACTAAGAATTTAACTATTCCAAAGGCATTAATTAGGATGAAATTATGTGTTGGAAAGGATGGTAGTGGTGATCAATAAGATCTTACTATGATAGAAAGTTTATCAGAAATATTTTAAAGCACTTTAAGTTGGAATATGGTTACTCAATGAGTTGAAATTTTTGCATCAAAAATTTATATATTATGACTATTCAATAAATAAATCCACATCAGTAGTACAGAGCTAATTAACAAATATTGATTGAGGGGAATATTTCATATATTAGCTGATAAAATACTGTATATATGTATGTAACTCATTTTTTTAAAACTGAGTTTTCTTGAGAACTAGGGGAAATGAGTTAAATGTAAAACAGTTTACTTTATAAAGGTCCAAGAATATTTGGCAGGAACCTAGAATAAAAAAATAAAACAGAAAAAAACAGGTTCTTATTTAACAAAATAATCATATAATATACGAATCTGAAGTTAGGCAATTATAGAGGCATTTTCTAAGGATGAAATTTAAGAGTTACTTGCACACCTAATACTGTCTTACCTGTCCAGTCATAACCGGACAAAACGTACATGTAAGAGACACAGAAGGTTTCGTCATAGTGTGATAACCACACTGTGAGCTTCTTATACAGCAGTAGAATTGAGGCATGGAGTTAGTATCTTCTAGGCTTCCCTTCAGAGCAGATGTCTGACATAAGAATATTTTTAATATTTTATTCACTTTAACTCATTCCATTTTGCCCTGATTATTTCTGAAGAGCAGAAACTTTGGTTATAAGAAGCACTTCTGGGTTTTGACGGACAACGAAACTTTCAGTTGATGGTGAGGGTTGGGATGAGAGGTAAACAACAGGAACAATAGGCGAAGTTAGAAAAGGAAGTGGGAGAAATTAGAAAAATTTATTTTCCTATGAAATAATTCTACAAGCGGTGTAAACGTTTCTTACTAAAACATACTCAAACACACAAAGATTGTACATTTCCAGTGAAACACTAACAGTTAAAAGTTGCCTGTACTTTCACTCTCTAGGAGCAAAAACAAGGAGCCAGCAGATGAACGCTTTCCTAGTCACCTTTGGCAGCAAGCTTCCTCACGTTCCCTGACTGCTCAATGGATCATTAAAGCAACATACAGCACAATTAAATACAAAGCCAGGTGGGTAGAATTCTAGATGTCAGTCTCTAGTTTCCTCATTAGTCTTCAGCATTCAGATTCATCTCAACCAGTCACTCGTGCACACTCTTACACACAGACGCACGTGCATACAGGGTTCCGGCTCATATACTCCAGTGCAGTGACATTAAGACACTAGTTACTAAGAATGTGTTTGTCACAATCATTGTGAACTGCATGGATTAGAACAACCTTTGGAGTTTGGTTATATATGCCATAATTTATGGTCAAAATTATAAACTTACAAGGATGGTAAAACATTTAGAAATCAAACTTTCAAGTTAAGCAATCACGCATATTTACAGTATATACAGACTTTCTACTAAAATGGGGATAGGTGTCTAGACGATGTTATTACAAATTTCCTGAATGTGGGCATTTCTAGTCCCTGTAATTCATAAAGCAAATCTGCTGACTTGGCATTAAGACTCTAAAATAGTGTGATCAAACTGATATATATATATATTTATCATAAGAAGGTGTTTGCAGAAATAACATTTACAAACTGTCTATACAGTACACAGTACTAGTACATAGAAAATAGATTCTAACTTTATGATCCCCTTTGTGTAAGGCAAGACTGAATCTGTCCCCAAATTTAGTCAGCCAGAGGTACAAGCAACAGTGGTCCATGGATAAATGAATATGCAAATCAGGTGTCTACATATTAAAAATCTGGAGATTTGAGAAAATCCACTTTATCTGGGCTGATTCTGGTTTGCTGGATATATAAACTACATTTCATAAAATACTAATGCCACCTGGATGGCAACAAGTTTTGTTCAAGTGGCAACTACCCCAAACAGTTTTTGGAAAGTCCAGTATACAATCAGAGGACTGCAGCTGTACCAGGCAAATTTATATAGCACTTATAAAAGAAAAAATGTATGTTAATACTCTATCTCATGCTATTGCTATTCAAGCAACAGCAGTACAAAATATACAAGACAGATCACATATGATTTGCAATGTAGACCCCAAAGAATGTTTGAGGGGGCTGTTATACAAGACTTAAAAAAAAGAAAAGCACACAAAAGGGTTAAGTCATGGGCGGATGTAAACATCCCTGTTCCACTCCCCAGCCTCGTTCCGTTTTTTAGATATTCCTTCTCCATCCTTGTCGTAATAACGATCCTTGGATTTATGACGGCTTCGTTGTTTGTTGCACTCATTGTGGTCCTGCTCTCGATCCAGGTCCCTGGAACGGTGCCGAGACTCCCTGTGCCTATGCTCACTGCTCCCATGGGTGTCATCTCTGTGATTGTGGTCACGGTGTGGGACATAGTGGTCCACGTGTTCATGGGAGTAATCTTCCTTTGGCTCCACATAGGCAGAGTCTCGACTCTCCTGGGTTTCCGAGTCAAACGTCTCTTGCCTGGAGAGGCCTCGACTTGTACCACTGCGATGGTTGTGGTGCTGGGAGGAGGAAGCACGGTGATGGGATCGCTTAACTGGTTCCAGGCAGACTTCTTCTTCAACTTGGGAAATAGAACGGGCTGGAGCACAGCGATCAGTCCTCTGATCACCTTGAGAACCCTAGCGATTCAGGGAGCAAACAACATCAATCAAGGTCAGAGCATGAGGAATTAACAGGTCACTAAGCTAGCTATTATTTTTTGGTGATATCTAATGGCATTTTTAAAGGCTGTACTACATTAAACTGTTAATTTATAGTGCTTAGAGTAACCGTTTTTAATGGTGGGCATTCTTTTTTATATTCTCTTTTGGCTCAAATACAGATTTCCCACCTTTATTTGAAAGTTGATTTGTTCTTGTTTTAGTTTTATGTTTGCAGATCCCAAAAACTACATATCACACCAAATAGAAAATTTCTATTTTTGTAATAGAGGAGGGAAAAATATGGATCCTCGAGATTTTTCTACATATTGGGTGTACACTTAACTACCTTCACTTTACATATGTGTGAAGATTAAAACTCTGGCTTAAGAAAAAAAGATAACATATCAAATACCTAATGGCACTGAAAGTGACACAAACACTATTCTAGGAGAAAAGATATGAGGTAAGTTGCCATTAGGATTCCTAAGATAAGTAGCCGGTTATATACCTAAGTAAGAAGCAGAGCGAGAACTTGAACCCTGGTAATGTGATTCTGTGTTGCTGTGTAATAATGCTTATCTATCCCCTTCCTTTAAAAGTCACTATATGCTCTTTAAGTTTATATGTTCATGTTCTGTTTATACTGCTTTCTTACAGGTATGCAGCTCACTAGCAAGGTGTTTAAATGAGTCAACGTTTGTCTCATGTTGGATAGAGCTACTCCAGACTTAGCAGTGTGCCCTTAGACAGCCTAGTTTTTCAACAGACAATAAAGAATTCCCCTTACCTGTGAATTAGAGGCTAGCGTAGGGCTAATGGGTAGAGTTGAAGTGGCTAAAGTACGGCTGAGAAGAGGGTTGGGAAGGTTGCTGCTGGGAGGGTGGGTGGCCTTCCAGTAGGCCTCCAGATAGTCAGCAAGGTGCTCACAAGCATCCTCAAGCTGGTTCTCATCCAAGATCACATCAAACAACTCCTACAGGCAGACAGCATGCTTAGATCAGCTCGTTACTGAGTTTCACACATGAACATATTCCTACTTTCTCTTGGCTGACTCTCCTATGGTTTGTGAAATTGTCTATTTCAAATAATCATTGGGGGTTGGGGGCAGGGTGTGTGTGGGGTATGGTAATCATGGGGGTTTATGGGGCGGGGAAGGGGAGGGGGAGATTTGGGATGATTCACCAGAGACAGTGGAGAGCAGAACAGGCAGATATATTGACATCCACCGCTACAGAGCGGTGGGCAAGGCAGGAGCGGTCTGCTGTCTGCTGCACCTTATGTGGGTTAGCTCCCTGGTTCGGGAATCGAACTCAGGCCACCGCAGTGATAGCGCTGAGTCTTAACCCCCTAGGCCAGCAGGGAGGCCCAAGTACTTGCTTGCAATAGTGAATACTTAACCAGTAGCTACTTAACCAGTAGCAACGAGCAGAACAGGGACAGGTGTAATAGGTAATGGTGTGATTAAAAAACAGTCTGAAGTACAGGGAGAAACAATCTTGGCAGGAATAGAACTATTTTCAGCTTCCACCAAATTTCATCCCCTACACAGTCAAAATGCACATAATCAGAGCTCTTACAGTTTCTAAAATACCTACACTTTAAAACAAAAACCGGAAAGCAATCTATAGTCCTACAGCCCCATTTTATGACTTAGAAGGATGTATTTGCAGGTTCAGAATCTGGTTAGAAATTTGCTTTTCACATGTTCTCACATTAGTTTCTCAACTTGTTCACTCTGATTAGCAGTGAATAATTAACTCCGAATGGGTCCCTCTTGCAAATCAAATTTTTGAAACCATGACTTGTTTCACTTAAGATACTAACTAGGTGTTAAAGCACGGTCACCACAGAAAGTGCTGTAGCTTTCTGTAAGCCACAGTCATGATTTGGACAAGTGCTTATGGTGTGAGGTACACAGTTCCATTTGAAATGAGGCCACTGCTAGGTGAAGATTCTCTTCTCCCAGAAGAGGTATTTGTCCCATTTTGGTTTTCAAGTATAATGCCAGGTATGATCTCTTCAGGTAGATTATACTGTTTATAAAGATGACTTACTGGAGGACACTGGGCCAGTTTATCAGCTGCTACCATCTGGACATTGAGGTGTTTAGCTTGAGATTTCCCTCGAGATTTTATTAACCTTTGTAAAACCTGTAAAAGATAAGATTGTTTTCAGAAGGTCTGTCTGTGCTGTGCTCAGATAAATAACAAAGTTTGTTACTTTTTTCTCAGGAGACCTTTTTATACACAGTTTATATACAGTTTATATACATATGCAAAGTTAATGTTAAATCTGTTATCTTTAAAAAATAACTAGCATGGGACTTCAAGCCCAGAACTTACCAAACTTTGTTTCATGATCCCTGTATAAGTTTATATGAATATAAAAATTAGCTCATTTAAAATTTAACAATACACCTGAACCATATTAACATATTAATATTTGGAAAATTCCTGTAAAAACTGGCTGGCTTCATAGAAATCAGCTAAAGTCTATAAAATGTATTGTTTCAGCCTCCTTACAGGTATGTAACTGAGGAAAGGAGGAGTATCTTTTAGTAACTCTTTCAGTTAATTGGGGATAATTTTTCTTTGCTACTACTTTTGGAGAAAAAGAACAAATATAATTAAATGCATATGGAATTTCTAGAACAAATGAGAACAGGCTTGAGTTATTGGGAGAGGGGTCTAATGTGTTATTGAAAGAGGAGAGGGTGACTCATCATAAAACCATATACTCCAGATGCTTGTCCTACCATAAGATAGATTTCTCCTATGAAGAGAAATTTTTGGAGATGACCCTAAATCTGGATACTCTTCATTCTTTAAGGTAATAGTTTTTCTGGAAGACTACAGGCTCTTAATTGATATTAGTTTATTTGAAGGGGACACATACTGGAAAAGACCTACTCTGGACATCTTGGAAACAACAGTATCTTAACATTTAGGAGGCCTATCCTCCTTAGGTATCTAATGAACAATGAGATTATTCAATATCAGTCCAAGATCTTGTATCACCTAAAGATCTTGGAAACGATTACATGGAGATTATAAAATATAATTATTGTTTACATAAAGTTCTTGAAATAAAGATTAAATGTTTCAATTTAGTTAAACATAAGTTTGCATTTTTTCCATAATCTTTAACATTTAGTTGGACGAAAGATAAGAAAATACAAGAGGTAGTTTGTGCCAAGTAAAACCTAAAACAATATCAATGATACAGATTTACCTTGACTAGATCTTTTACCATGTATGGTATGTAACATTCATTGACCATTTGGAAAATAGTGATCCACTGAATTTTTCAGACCCAAGTATTGACGCATTTCATTACACAGTATTAAAAATTATCATTGATCTATCTCATCAGAAAAGTCTTATCTTTTGGGAAGCCGCCAAGTTCGCGGCTTTTCCAAATTTAGAATTTTTGCTTGAAAGCTTAAGATTTATCAAATGCTATTAGTTGTCTTTCCTTGAAGTGACCAGGTACATTCTGGTCAAGAAAATAACTGCCAAATACCCAAGACTGAATAAACATAGCCTGCCAGTTCTTTCAAATAAAACTTTCATGAAAAAAGTGGCTAGTTCCATTCACAGCTCAAATTACACCAGAACTTGTCCTCACATGGTGTACTTCTGTGGGGCCTTAAAAACAAAAAAATCTATTTCTACAACATTAAGTAAAACTCAAAAAAAAAAAAAAAAACCTGAGTACATGGTGGTGATGCATGTTTAGAGCAGTTTTACCCATCACTACAAATTTCAAAACAGAGAAAGAGAACAATGTCTTAGTTTTGAACTTATGGACCGCCTGAAAGTATTTTACAACCTCCCGCCCTCTCATCTTTGGCTCACACTTTGAGAATTGTTCTAAGCCATGAAACTAAGTCATGCTTTCCTTAAATGAATCTTAAAAATTTGTGACTGTCATGTCTATTCAAACTCTTTATGATGGCTAAATATAGTTTATAATTGGAAAGCAAAACAAACACATTTTAGTAAAGGCTGATTACGGACTAAAACAAAAGCAACCATACGTACCTTAGGAGAAGAGATCTTTACATATACTATAATTGGGGCCAGAGAAGTTTTACTAAGTTGCGCTGGATGATTAATAGTATCCGCATCGAGGACAACCAATTGCAGTGTTCTTGCAAGTTCAAAAATCCTCTCAATTTCACTCTGAACTTCAGCTGTAAAGGTTAGCGTTACAGTGTTTTTAGATCGAGCAAGTTAAGATTAAAACGGTACACTTTTTTCAACGGGAATGTAGATATGCTAGTCATTAGGTTAATACAGACTGGAGACAATAAAAGGTGTCCTTTGGAAAGGGCTGTATATCCACAACACCTTGGAATTTAGGGAATTTCTCGCAAAAATAAATTTACTTACACTCTGACCCCCTATGAGAATTAAAATTTTGGCTCTTGGCTTTATTTTTGCTATAAAACGTCACTCTGTGGAATCGGTTCATAAACATGTTGTAAAATAGTAACTTAAAAAGATATCATTGATGTGTTTTTGATTGCTTCACCCTAGCAACCACCTCCAGATTGCTATTCATTGCATAGGCTTATCTATGTTTATATGTCATCTAGTCGTATGATGTGATAGAGTCTAGATGTTTATTAGCAAGCTGAGATACAACATAAAATAGGAGACACATTGAAGGTTCCTATAACAGCTTGTGACAAAACATGCTTCTCATTTTCCACCAACGAAAGAATGGTTCTGCAGTGTTCATTTTTTAAAGGTGCAGCACTATGAAAAATGGTATGTAGGTTCCTCAAAACATTAAAAATATGATCCAGCAATCCCACTTATGAGTATTCATCCAGAAGAAACAAAAACACAACTCAAAAAGATATCTACACCCACCCTGAACCCTGAACACATGCATAGTGAAGTCACTCTTGACATTAAAGGACAAATACTTGTTTCCACATATTGAATTATCTACTACACCCAAATATACAGAAACAAAAAGGAGATGAGAGGTTATCAGGGCCTGAGGGAAGGGGAGTAGAAGAGGAGTTACTATTCTTGAAAGTGTTAATACTTAAAAAAAAAAAAAAAAAAAAAAACATTACAGAGAACCTATCAATGCAGACTTGGAGAAATACACTACACAGAAATTGGTTTAAAAGAAAATAAGCAGAGATTTAGTGTTGATATTTTATCCTCTTATGGAGCAATATAATAGCAATAATTCTCCCCAAACTTTAACATATCCTTAATGTTAGCAAAACTACAGCTTAAATCAACTCAAAATGGATTAAAGAACTAGACATAAGACCTGAAACCATAAAATATATAGAAGGAAATATAGGCGAAACACTACGTGATTTGCACATCAAAGACATCTTTACAGACACATCACCCAAAGCAGTGATAGTGAAGGCAAAGATAAACAGCTGGGACTACATCAAATTAAAGAGCTTCTGCACAGCAAAAGAGACAATAACAAATACAAAAAGAAACCCCACCAACTGGGAGAACATTTTTGCACCCAACACTAATGATAAAGGACTGATCACAAAAATCTGCAAAGAGCTGATGAGACTCAACAACAACAAAGAAAATAATCCAGTCCAAAAATGGGCAGAAGAGCTAAAAAGAAACTTCTCTGAATAGGAAATGTAAATGGCCAACAGGCATATGAAAAAATGTTCAACATCACTTGTAATCAGGGAAATGCAAATCAAAACTACCATGAGATACCATCTTAAACCAGTGAGAATGGCACATATTAAAAAAACTAGCAACAACAAATGTTGGCGAGGATGTGGAGAAAAAGGAACTCTCCTGCACTGTTGGTGGGAGTGCAAACTGGTCCAACCACTATGGAGAGCTGTGTGGAGATTTCTGGACCTACTAAACATAGAGCTTCCATAGGATCCAGCAATTCCACTCCTAGGTATTTACCCAAAGGACACAGAAACATCAATTCCAAAGAACACCTGCACCCCTATGTTTATAGCAGCATTGTTTACAATAGCTAAGCTTTGGAAACCACCCAAATGCCCAAAAATAGATGACTGGATCAAGAAGATGTGGTACATATACACCATGGAATATTACTCAGCATTCAAAAAAGATAAACACATGCAATTTGCATCAACATGGATGGAGCTGGAAGGGATCCTGCTCAGCGAAATAAGCCAGGAAGAAAAAAAAAAATACCGGATGGTCTCACTCATAGCAGGAATCTAGAAAACTTAAATAAGGGACCAGGAAAATGAATATAAGAAAGCGAAAATCAAAATCAACAAAAAACTATGAACCAGAGACACTTTTTGGGGGGCGGGAGGGGAGGGATTGGGGTCAGAATGGGGGGGCTGCAATTGTATGGGGAATATAAAATAAAATTTATTATTTAAAAAAAAAAAGAAGTATACTTATAAGCGCTATAGTAGAAAATAAGTTATTTGTGGGCGTCCCCTGGTGGCGCAGCGATTGAGTGCTGGGCTGCAAGGCTGCCCGCAGCCTCTGCAGTGCCAGGTCGTTCCCCGGCCGCGGGCGAGGGTCCCACAAAAAAAAAAAAAAGTTATTTGTCCTGGAGAAAGCACAATGCACATTGTAATATACATTGTAAATGTACAATGAATGCTGAATATGAAGCCATTTACCAAATTTGCATAAACACAAAGGCCATAAAATCATGAGTTGGTGACAAGGTAATGTTATGATTCATACACTAGTTTACTAAGTTCCTACTGTGTGCCAATCTCTGCAGTATGTACTGATGAAGCAACAATGAGCCAGAAGATTCAATCCCTAATGCACAGGGCTTATAACTAAGTGGCAGAGACAGACAACAGTGTATTCATTCAGTGAAAGTAAAGTGACAGTTCTCAAGAAGCACAAAGTGTTAGACAAAGACAAACTTTAAAACCAACCCTTTAAAAGCTGACCATAGATACGAGGCATCTGGGAGCAGAGGGGAAGGGATGAGAACAGGGAGGGAGGGAGAACACAATGGACTAGTAGAGAACTACAGTGACCACACCTGAAGGAAGATATTATATATTGATAAAGAGAGGTTGGCATTCTTATCTCTGTCTCCAGCACATAGAATAATTCTTATCTCTGTCTCCAGCACATAGAATAATACCCAGTACACGGTTATACAAGTATTTGTTAAATGGATGAATAATGCCTAAAGGATAAGCTCCAAAATTCTAATATCCTTTCTACCTCCTCTGCTTTTAAGTCTTAACATTCAGCCAAAATAAAGCATTTATATATTCCAGAAACCTCTTGTAGCTCTTGCTTGAAATCCCCATCACCTTCTCCACCCCTTCCTCTTTTTTCTTGGCACCTCTATCATACTTCAAGTCTCAGCTCTTGGAAAAGCCTTTCCCAGAGACCTTCACTATCTTGCAGCATTAGCTCTTTGGAAACAGCTCAATAAATACCCTCTGTTTTACTGGATGATTTTTCTGTCTTATTGCTAGACTAAGCTCTTCCGGGTCAGGGGCTTCATTTAATTCATCTTTTGACACCAGGCTTTAGCATGATATTTTAGTATCCAGTGTATGCTCAACAAAATATATGTGGAGTGCAAGAAACATTAAAAAAATTATAATTGGCAATTACAAAAGCCTTGATTCTAACAAATCTGTTGAGCCTCAACAGATAGAGTCAACTGATGAGCCTCAATAAAATAATTGACAATTGTTAGTCGGCTGAATTGATGAAACAGGCATTTTATACCAATTCCTGTGAGTATCAAACAATGTAGAGTTTTCAGGGTCACATGATTAGGATATAAAAAGATAAAAAATTATCATATTTTTCCTCTAAAGCTATATTGCTGAAGTTTAGTCAATATGGGGGTTATTAATGAGAACAAAATTGAGTTTTATAGAGCATTATTCTCTATACTAATAAAATAGATTATTTGTAATAGTGTCTATATAATATACTAAAGAAAAAAAAACAAAAATAAATAAAAAATTCTATGTTAAAAACCAGTCTCTCAAAGGATATTTGTAATGTCTAAATAGATAACATCAAAATCTCACACAACCTTCAATAAACTGACTTTAAAAAAATCCCAGAAATCTCATAATACAGTAAGCTAGATGTCTAACAGTGGGGTTAACCTAAAACGCCAAGCACAGGCCAAAAAGATGAAATAGCTTGGAAAGTGTCTCGTTTGCTCAAATTAGTACATGCTAATAATATCCAAGCACAGCTTTGTGATTACATTAAATAAAATATGTATCTTCTTTTTACCAATAAATGAAAAAAATTGTGGAAAATGGCCAGTCACTGACTTGATCATTTATTAATCTCAACATGTACATGTGCACACAAAATATACTGAAACTGATTATTGATTTAATAAGTATCAAGGGGTTTGGGGGAATAGCCATCATTTATGGAGAATATACTATGTTTAATCCTTAGAATTTCTACAAACTGAAACTTGTTTGTAGAGTCTGTGGACACCAAAGCTCACATTAGTGAAAACAAAGCATAACCAAAACAATGCTGACAGCCTTAAAATTTTTAACTCAAAACTATCATAACAAATCTACCATACCATAAAATTACTAAGACTGTGGCACTAGCTACTAGCAACATGTATCTTTTTCTACCCTGCTCTGTGACACATGGAATTAGCATCTAGCTGGATCTTCCCATTGGCAATTTCAGGACAGAAGTGTTTAAATAGCTTAAGCTCACCAGTAATGTGCAGACTTACCCAAGCTCGACCTAGTGTTGGATCTTTCTATTATTGCATGCTTACTGGGATTGTTTAACACTGAGCGTTTGGCAAGTGAGATGTCAGCCGTGACCCTTGTGATGGATATCCTGTTGGGAAAAAGTAACAGAAGATCCTCACATTAACAGAATAAACAGGACAGAAGAACATGCCCAAAACTCTTCTAAGGAATGTGTGTGTGTGTGTATGTGTGTGTATAGTATTTTTAAACCAAAACAAAAAATGTTACACTTAGTGTTCCTTTTTTTTTGGTTCCCCATCCAGCATCTAAGCATTTATTAATTGCTTACCAAATGCTAAGTAAGCATGTACTAAGCATTATCTCATTACTTGAATTTTCTTATTAAATCCTCTGAAAAACTAGTGAAGAAGATTGTTTATATCCCACTTTTGCTCATGAAGAAAACAAGTCATCGGTAGATTATTTATCATAAGGTTATATATATTTGCTAAAAATGGTAAGGGTTGGGGTTTGAACCTAGACTCACAAAAGCCTGTATTCTTAGCCTTTGTGGTATAATCCCTCCTATAAGGAAGGTGCTGTGATAGGCATGAAGAATAAAAACAAGCCAAACATGGTTTCCCTTAGAGAGCAAAGAGTCTAGTGATAGGGATGGGTAATAAATAAAAAATATATTAATAATTAAGATGACTGCTGTGAAGAGGACATATGGGGTCCTGAGACAGTAACAAGTTGGGAGATCATTTTAAATAAGGTAGAAATGAGAGCGACCAAACTTGGAAGTTGGAAAGAGATTAGATAGTAGTTGAATGAACATTGAAAGTTCCACACCAAGAGGAGTTCTTATAAATACCATGGAATTGGGGGCAAAGAAAACCTGAAAGTTTCCCAAGGAGAAGAGAGTTCACATAAAGTGTCAGGAATTAAAATAAAATACTTAGTACTTTTCAATAGAAACAACAGAAGCAAGAATATAATAGAACACGAAGCCTTCAAAACTTCTGAGGAGAATTCTAAGAATTCCATAACCATTTTGACAAGAATGGGTGTGCTGATTAAAAACATTGTTAGACACTCAAGGTCTCAAGTTTTTGTGTTCTCTTTCTATGGAAAGTATTGGAGGATATTGGTGACTAAACTGACAAGATAATCTTTCAAAGAGGTCAAGGAATTAGGAAAAGGAGGCTCCAAATCAAAAGGAAGGTGAAGTGAATGTCCAAGATAATGAAAAGGAATATCCCAGAATGATAATACGCACCCACCATGGAGAGAATTTGTGGAGACTAGAACGGGCCAAAGTGTTCTCAGAGAGAGGCTCAAGAAGACAGAGTTGAGAGACTCCCACATGCATTTCAATACTTAGCGATAAGAAGACTTAGCCAATTGGGGAAGAAACTAGAATAGTGTGAAATACATTGAAAATTAAGTAAATGTCAAATTATTTCTCATGAGAACCACAAAGAACACACAAGAAAAAGTAATTATTGTATATGACATGGTTCATTTGGTAGTATTATGTGCTATTACATGATTATACATATGCAAGTGTGTAGTTATACAATGGTATTATATAGTTCTGTATCCATTATAATATAATGGATAATCCATCCACATTATGATACACTAGATCTGTTTCCCCTGTTTTCCCCCTCCTCAATGCCTTTTATCCCCTTTGTTGTCAGTCCTCCCCTATCTCACCCCACAATCCCAGAGCTATTTTCCATCTTTATTATTTTGTCTTTCTCAGAATATCACTGTAGCCTTTTGAAACAAGCTTTTACTTTTTATTAGAGATTAGAGATTGTTGTGTGTATGAATAGTTGATTCCTTTTCATTGCTGAATGGGATTGTGATTTGAAAATAAGTAATTTTTAAGCTTTTTTTATGCTTATGAAAATTTTATTTAAAAAAACCCAATAACTGGAAAAGACATTAGACCCATCAGTTTCAAAATATACCTTCATGATTGTACAGTGCATTCCTAAGTAGAACCAGGCTATAGTAGGAATGGCCAGTGTTTAGTAATTGTTTTATTTATTGCTTCTATTTTTTGGGGGGTGCAGTGGAGTGGAGTGTGGTAATGCAATCTGGGAAGCTCCAGCTGGAATACATGTAACAGTATCCCCTTTGCACAGCATCTGTGTAGCCAGGGAGGGAGTCATTTCTTTAGCATTGATAGAACACACCAATCACTGTTTGCGCTGCTCTCAAGGAAAATAAATTCTTGGGGGTGGAGGTAGAGTGGAGGGAAGCAGACAAACAGGTGTCTAATATTACATGGTAATGAACATTATTAAAAAATAATGCAGAATGGTGACAGACTGTGTGCTATGGAGGGTGTATGTTTGGTGTTTGGGGAAAATCTTTCTGGATCTCATAGTTGGCTTGGGGGGAAAACTGATTGACAGGACAGGATGTTCTGTACCAATCCATCTTCTTCCTCTCCCCTCATGCTCAGTGCCTTCTTCACAGGTTGTTGCTCAGCCAGGCTTCCACTAACCTGCCCACAGGATTCCCTTTGCCAACTGTGTGAAGATGGGCCACTATCCTAGTTCAACTCTTGAAGTTATCCTCTGGGAACTGTCACCACTTGGGGCTCTGCCAAAAACTAGATCTTGAAAATCCTAAAGGCAAAATTCTTGGGGACAATTCAGTTTAGAACAGTGGCTCTTTGCACTGACAGTATATCAAAATTGCCACAGAAGCTTTGACAGGTACATGAGGTAGCAAGCTACAGAGTTGGTTCCAATTACTCACAGGTGACACATAAAGGCCTTATTTTGTTTTCCCTACACTGCCGGTGATTCCAATATGCAGCCAGTTTAGAAGAAGTCTCACATCGAAGTAAATTTCCCACATGACAAAGTAAAGTGGTATAATGGTTCCCAGGATTATTATTTCCAATGAGACACCCTCACTGAAGTTTCACCACTGCAAACATCCTACAGTACGCAATTCAGTACACATCTCCAACACTGGAATGCTGAAATCTGACATTTTCAAAGTCACTGGGGAGGAAAACTGCATTTATCATGGATGGTAGCTTTTCCTCATGTCCCTTTAGCTATCATTGTCCTACAAGGTGAAGCTGAAGATTGCTTTCTGCATATGACACAGCTGGTTAGGATGGATCCGATTTTAAATAGGCTACTCCGCTACACACAACAGAAAGAGAGTAATGATTTATCGTCCCTCCTTTGACCTGACATACTTATGCTGTGTAACCATCAGGTTTGGGATTCTGACAACTCTCTGGGGCTTCAACAAATGAACTTAACTTCGTTTCAGAACAGAAAAGAATTCCTATCAAGAACCTTCTGTCACCAACACTTCCTTTCAAATTTTCTTCCTCTTGGGCCTCAATTTTTTTCAAATAAATTTAATAGATAATTCAGGAGTAATGCCGATTTCCCTTTTAGAATTACATGTATATGAATATCCTTTGCATTTTGGATAAGCTTCCATCCTGGCCAAAAGCAAAGGCATTTAATGCCTTGCCATGGGTAAAAAAGTTAAATTTTTACACACATTTTAAAAATTCTGCCTTGATATGAAAACAACCTAAATGCCCCAAAACATAAGTGGATCAAGAAGATGTGGTATATATACACAATGGAATACTACTCAGTGATCAAAAAAGATAAACTCATGCCATTTGCAGCAACATGGATGGAGCTAGATGGGATTATGCTAAGTGAAATAAGTCAGAAAGAAAAAGTTAAATATGGGATGGTTTCACTTATATGGGGGAACACAGAGGAATTGAACAAAGGGTCAGGAAAAAGACAAAACTTGCAAGTTGACCAGAGATCTGAGACATACAGCATGAGAAGGGGTGGCAGATGGAAGGGGAGGGGAGATCATAAGGGCCTGTGGAGATGGATCATGGGTGCTAAGGCGGAGGGAGAACTATGGGGAATGTACCTGAGGGAGAAACCAAATATTACTCCAAAATTACAACAATGTAAGAAAATAAATAACTCTAATTTAAAAAATTCTGCCTTGGCTCCCCTCCCCCGCCCACAGAGGCGGCACTCTCCGATCGGCAGAGGGGAGGAAACAACAAACCAAAACGGCCAACAAGAAAAACGGACGCAGCAAGCAGGACTGTGAGTGGAAAGGAACTATTTCAGCCACCACACCCCGTGAACGGGAGCTGAGGCAAACCCTGCAGGATCCGCCGCGGCGGTGAGCGAACGGCTCCGGGCGCCATTAGAGAAGAACAAAGACCCCGGGAGACGCACACACAGCCCGGGCTGCCGGTAAGCTGGCGCGGATAGCGGCGCGCTCGGAGCGCTTGAAAAGCAAGTGCAGACCAGGATCGCGGCTGCCCAGGTCCCCGCGCCTGCGACCTAGGCTTGGGAGACGACCTAGGCTTGCGGGGAGGCGCGGAGGTCCTCACTGAGGTGAAGGTCCCTCCCTGAGTAAGCAGGAACCAGGCGCCCAGGCACGGGAGCTGTGCAAAAGGCGCCCTTCCCGCGCCACTGAACTGGGCTACAGCCCGCGTCCTGGAACTGAGGGCTTTGGAACTGAGACCCGGGGCACGAAATTAGGGGCGTGGGTTCCCCACGACGGTGGGGCACAAGGCAGACACAGCACCCCAAAGCCGTTGAGGTGTACCCTACCATCCCCGCTTTGCTCCCTGTCCCACGGCGTGGAAAATCAGCTCCCCAAGGGCTCTAGGAGAGATCTTTGGCGCCACCTAGCGACTTGTAGACAGCACAGGCTCCTGAAGGAACTAGTGGCCAGCTGGGGAGTTAGCCCACACCCGGCCCCTTCCGAACAAGTAGTCTGAGCCCACAGGGAGAGCGAGCACCCACAGCCGGGGCAGACCAGGCACGCAGAAGAGTGTGCCTGACACCGGACGCGCAGGGAGTGTGTCCCACATCACCATTTTAGAACAGGGACATTTCTTCAGTAAAGACTACCTGCAGAAGGCTTCCTCAGGAGCCAGAGGTGAGCGGGGAAAGTTCGCCCACGCCAGACCCCCTCTGGCCTGCAGTCCAAGCCCAGAGGGGGAGCAGGAACCCACCGCCGGGGCAGACCAGGCGCACAGGGGAGTGTGTCCCCACATCGACAATTTAGGACAGGGACCTTTCTCCAATAAAGACTGCTTGAAACTGACAG